CTCCTCTGCGGCGTTGCTTGAGCCCTCTTGACTCTGTGAACCTGTGTCAGCTTTCACCAGTTGGCCAGAGCCGTTAAACGAATTGCTGTCGGATGTTGAGGGATGTAGAAGTGAAGTGCAGTCTTGGTAAACTCAGCAGCTTTTATTTTTAGTTGCGCGTGTTAAGTAGGTTACCTGTTGGTGAGGTCTGAGTAATAGACTGCCTGCCCAACAGGCCCCCAGGCAACAATTAGAGGAAGCCTCTCATTCCCCCCTTTGTACACTTATCCCTCCAACTGTATCTCTCTCTTTCTCAACCTCTGTCTCCCTCCCATCCGTCGCGATCAGTCTCTTCTCTCCTTGCTCTTTGATTTTCTCCACTCCTTCTCTTTGTATTTCCGTCTTTCTTTTTCTGTCTCGTTTTCCGCCTTGAGTCAGTTAGTTTAAAAGCCACCAGGGGATAAATCTGACGGGTGCAGAAATGCAGCAGAATAAAGATGCTGACAAAGACCCACACAGTATGTTGGATTCAGACTAACGGTGGTCGGTGTTTGTGGAAACCCCGGCCCGTGCTAATGCTTTTTTAGAATACCTCCATATTCTCAATGTCATCTGCAAACTCCTGGGAGAGTGCGTGCTGATGTGTCACACTCCTGTAGCTAATTTGTCTGGAGGTGAAAGGGGAAGTGTATGTATGCTGAATCAGCAAAAGCTGACTGTATGTGTTTGAATGAGCTGTGAACACACATATTTCTCTATAGCTCTGATTTACACTGTAGGACTTCCTTCTCATCCTGTGGAGTACTAGTTGTACTAGCATGTACTAGTTGTGCCCATCAGGAAGCCATCCTTCTGGGTTGTATAAATCATCCCATTGCAAACCACCATCCACTTTTCAGCACCTAGAAGAGCAACATGACATTTAAGAGGATTACCTACAGTAAAGAAAAGCCTCGTGCTCTCTTGAAATGTGATGCTGCCTCTCTTAACATGGTTCTATCGCAGCCACAGTTCCTCTGTCCTTCCTTTCCGCCTGTCTGGAAATGGAACGAACCCACCGCTAACAGCCTTCTTCATCCCCTCCCGCCCCCCTCACGGCCTATTCCATTGATTCATTGTGGCAGTGGTGGAAAGACATTTAGGCTGAAGATCCTTCTGAGCAACCATCTCTCTCTCTCCTGCTTCAGAGGATGATGGCCTGGTGGGGCCTTATGGTGTTGGACGCGCTGTCCAAGCCATGGCAGGACGGGTAAACATCTGTATTGGCCTGAGAGCTTGTTAGCGTCTGAGCTCTGACAGGCTCCCTGACCTGGTTCTCCACGTAGCCAGCACTTGTTAAGTTGCCGGCGTTCTAATGCAAGTTCAGGGTTTGACAGCTGGTACTGTGAGGAATGAGTGGGTCGCTCCCTATTAGCTAAACTAGTATGCAAATGTTCCGGACAGGAGTGAGTGGGCAGACCTACAGTGGCTATCAGAGGGCACTCTGCACTTGCTCACAGACCTGGGGTTATAGGGTGTGGGGTATATTCTGTTTGTTTCGCGTTTGTTCTTGCAGTCCACTGCAGGGATGTTGAACTGGGGCACTGATGCTGCTGATGAGGCTGCAGCTTCTCTTGAACACCTCAGCCTCCCCGCAGAGATCAATGAGCTTCAGCATCCGCATACGTTCACGTGCCACATCCACACGTGGTGTATAACTCCAGTGCGTATGTAGCAAGAGCAGATATTCATCAGGCATACCAATACAAATAATTAATCTGGAAGACACTGATGCGTAAGACTCACAGCAACTGCGTCGTTTTTATTCACTGAACCAACTTACAATGTTTTTTTTGTGAACACAGTGCCAGCTGGATGAAATGGGGCTACGCTCTCTGCAGTAGAGTGCTGACTGCCGAGATTAAGCTAACATAATGATAATTTCATCCTTTTCAGGCAAAACACTCCAATAACAATAATATATTCGTAAGTTTGAATATTAGTCCAACCCATTTACGGTTTATTTTTGATATAGGTAATGGTAAATTAATACTTAATAGTATTACAGCATTACAATATTGTAATGATCATGAAAAGGTAAATTTCATATAGAAACCTGCTTTTTTTGTTCAATTAAGAGACGAAAACAATGGTAAATGAAATAAGCATCACTGTCAGACAATAGGCTGCTCTTACATGCATACTTGGGTCTAAAAAAAATTGGATAATTGGATAATTTTTAGGAAGACTCAAGTAAGTGTAAGAAGAAGAGGCAAAGAAATGATGCTGAATAGAAAAAAATAAGTATATACGAAGGAGATGGGAGTAAATAATTCAAAGAAATAGGGAAATATGCAGGCAGAAATTAATAGAGAAAAATACTTTCAAGACGAGGAAGGCAGTAGCTAAGCAGAGGACGTCCGCTGTTCATTTTTTGTGGGGTTTTTTGAGTAATGAGGCTGTTAATTAGTAGAGGCAAGCATGGTTTATTAAATCAAAGTGTTTACAACTTTCCCTCTCAACCTCATTCTTGTGGTCCGAGATGTTGCTATGGTAATTGCAGAGTTATAAATGTGTTTGTTTTTGATGAGCTTAGTTAATTAACTATTAGTCTATAACTACTTTAAAAGCAATATTTTTACTCGCATAGTAATTAATTAAACTGTCCCTTGTGTTATCGTCATCTACTACATTCTCTTGTTAATGTTTCTCATAATTGACCTTTGTGAAGTTCAATCTTTAATGCAGTACTATATTTCTTTAAAAAATATGGAGTATTATTTTCTTGTTATGTGATTAATCATTTGGTCTATTAAATGTAAAAAAGCAAACATATACCACAATTTATTAAAGCCCATTGTGATGTCATTAAATAGATTCTATCCAACCAACAGTTTATAAAACAAGGTAAGCTTAATTTTAGACAAAAGACAATACAACACAGAGAAATATTACTTTTACGATGGATCAATTATCAAAATAGTTGGTGATTAATTTTCCGATGATCAACTAATTGGTTCGCGACTATTGTTTTACCCAATAAATGTAAGCCTAACATATCCAGATATATCCGTAGCATCTTCTACATTTAAATATGACATTTAAATATGCATTGTGTACCATTAAGGAAATTAGTTTTGCCGTCAGGTTAAGACATCCATGAATATGAGAAGGGGAAAATCACAGCACGCTACTGTCATCTCTGAAGAGCTGCATCAGTTTGTTCTCTTTTTTCATTCTGCAGAAGAAACACAATATAAAGCTGTTAGTTCCATTTCTACCACACATAATACACAGAGCGACACACCACCTCCACACTACAAATCTCATTAAAGCATTACACACAGTTGTGCCAGGAGCTTCTATCAAACCCTTTTGTGGTTTGTTTGCGTGCGTGTGTATGTAGACGGGTTTTGCCAGTTTTCTGGGGTAACATCTATCGCACAGTCACATTGTGAGGAATAACCTTCCTCTTGGGGTCAAAATGCACATCGCCGTCATGTAAAAGATCAGATTTTACAGGTAACACTTTGAGCTTTGAGGGTAGGTTTAGGTCAGACCCGTCCTCACTCAGTGACAGACTGTTAAAGAGCTGTTTTAGTTTTTTTTTTAGTTCAGATTTGGTTAGTCTTGGAATAAGGTTTAGGTTAGCTGTATGAAGAGGCTCTCCATTAGTTGGAATGGTTCAGGTAAGGGGTTATGGAATAAAAAAAACTATGTATCACATTTGATATAATACAAATATCAGCTTGGGAGCTGTGGTGGAGGAAGGCTAAAGAATACAATCCCTGCTGCAGGTCAGTCAGTGGAACTTGGTTGAATGTCATTAACCAGCTCACGTCCAATATCGAATTGAGGCATAAATCTCAGATAAGAAAAAATAAGGGAATTTAGTTCTAAACCTACAGGGGACTTTGAGGTGGGACATTGAGCTTAGAAAACCAAGTAAGTAGCTGGAACTGGGTTATTTTTCATTGATTCATAAATAACTCCTAATCGCCGGGCCCGAGGAGTTGATCAGTTTACTTTGGAGCTCTGAAACACAACCCAAAACCGACAACCTTAGAAGCTGTACAGTTCTCTTTTAAAACCACAATATGCACAGATAATATGTGTCTTTAGGGTAATTAGAAATGTTGTGTTTTAAATACTTTTTAATTTTTTACTGCTACTTTTTAATTTTTTTTTAAAAATATATTTAAATACTATATAAAAAGATAGTATGCCTTGGGCTTCCTCACAATGTGCCAGTAAATAAACAACGCCACCAAAACTTTCATTAATGTACAAGCGATGTCGTGGCCAGCGTGAGCCACTACAATCCGTTCAGCGAGCATTGCTCAGCTTTTATCTTTGAGCCCTGCACAAGAACTCGAGGACCCCTGACCAAGACCTTATATGAGCATTATATGTAGCAGTGTTTCATTCCCTTCTTCTTCTCTCTCTATTGTCCGGGAACAAGGAGAGGAAAGAGGCTATAAAGTTGAAATCTCTCTCTTGCACACCCATTTACACACAAACACACATCAAGGCCAGGCAGACTCAGGGTTGGTTTATCTCCAGCTTACAGTGAGTTGTTGGAGAATGCTGTGCTGCCAGTCTTTTCTCCGGGCGTGTGTGCGTTTGTGACCGACGGTGTCAATGTGCGTTAGAAGAGAAAGTGTGGAAAAATAGCTGTGTGTGTGAACAGTTTGTGTTTGTGAGTGAGAGGCGCATAAGGAAACAAGCTGGCGTGTTTGGTACGGCTGTGTAAGCTGCAGTAGCTGTGGATTAGACATTACGGACTAAGAGAGAGGAAGGGGACAAACAATAATACACACAAATAAAAAACAGTGACATTGCAATGGGCTGCTTTGTATCACAGCGGCAGACTGAGTGGAAAACAAATCCAGACGAGTCGTCTCAGAGTTCGATCAGAGTTAAATGTCAGAAATCAAGGTTTCCAGTATCCTAATTCGAACAATGTCCAATGCACGTTGTGTATCTAAATTTGGCTTTCGTTTTGTCACCCTTCTAAAGCGTGTAATCCACGTGTGTTGCAGGATTCGGCTCAGGAAGGTGTCATCACCCGGGACATTCACCGCACCTTCCCTGCACACGACTACTTCAAGGACTCTGATGGAGATGGACAGGATTCACTGTACAAGATTTGCAAGGTAATCCCGGGACGTAACGTTGAAGTTGTGGTAACATTACTTTACAAACGCAGAGTATAATGTGTCTTCAGAAAGTAGGTGGAGTTTTCAGCAGATAGAGGGGAAGGGGAGGGGGGGTGTTGGTGCTCGCTGTTAACAACTGAGTTGCAGCTACAGTGCTGTGTGTGTGGAGGGAGATGGGGCGGGCGGGGGGGGGTACATATGTTGACTCTCCATGGCATCATGGAACCGGAGGCGCTGTGAGTTGAGGAGCTGATTCTGAGTTTGTTCAATTTGTGCCATTCCCTATGAAGCCAGCCATTAAACAAGATATGTTGGATTCTTTTTTTTCTCTCTCTCTATTTGGTTGGTTTGGTTCTATTCTGGCTTGGCTCAATAGCTATTTGTTTGGCATTTCCAGTTGGCTCTACGATATATGACTGACAGTGCCCACTTTCACTGAGACATCAACATGAACTCTTCCTTCACTAGGTGGAAAGAGATTGATCTTTTCTTCCAATTTGAAAATGGAGAAACGCGGTTGCTCTTTTGTAGGCGGCATATTTCTCTCAAATTACCGACCAAATACATACACACAAAGTAAAATACCAGTCATTTATAGAATATTTTGTGCTTCTATTGCAGATCTCGAAAGCCCAGTTTGGGACCATCACTCATATTCCAATTCACTGCCATCTACTCAAGATTGCCATGTCAATGCATTGGTTGTTATTATTTGTAGGATGTCAGTAATGGTGGCAGCCAAATAGTTCTGAGGATATGCATGGTCTTACATTACCCTACCACCCTTGTCTATATTTCTATGTATCTACTGATTTAGTATTTATTAATCTTAATTAATTTATCTTACAGATACAACAATACAAAAGATGTGATTTGATGTGTAGAAGATACTCAAAGTAACTGCGAGGAATCTTTATCTTGTTCTGACATGGGCTGTTGTCCCGTTGACACAATGGTTATGGTTTCTGGGCACTAAAGTCCTTTTGGGAAACGACTAATTTGCAGCACGCTCTGACAGTGTGACCCGCTCCGGGTTCTCCCGTGCGTTCCCCCCTTCCAGCGGGCCAAGCAATATGGCCTCGGCTTATGGGCTCCCAGCAGGTACCGGTGGAGCACTGTGGAGGAGGAGCGGTGGCTGCCGGACGTAAACTCTCCGCCCCCGTGCCGAGCCTCCAACTGCGGGTCAAAGGCGGCCGCCAAGTCCAATCTGGGTCTGTCTGAGGCGGACTGCTTCACTGCTGGGGTCTGAGCCGAAGGAGTTTCCTGCATGAGAACCAGCGGTGTTTTGTTGGATCTAGTGGCAAATGCGACCGCTCTTTCATCTACAACATCTGAGAATAACTATATAGAAATAGTTCATCTACCCGTGATGGCCTATGATGGTCATAATGAGGCATTATTATTACATCCCGACCGCTTCATGACCATTAAAAGAAGTTCCTATTAGTAACCTTGACAGTGTCATGTAGACCCTTGACCTTTAATGGAGCAGCCTGCTACCATAAAAGAAAACTGCAGTTGAGGCTGCTTCCTATCAAAGTGACTAATAGAAGTAAGGATAGGGTCAGAGTGGACTTACAGCCTGAGGTAATTACCTGTGAGGGCACAAGGTAAATTTAATCCAGACAAAAGCTAAGGTCAGCACTATGGTAATGTATTAAAGCTAGTCTGAATCGTTGTCACTGTTCTCGTAGGTTTGTCTGCTGCTGCTGCGAACTCAACCAAGGCCATTTATTATGCACAGACGTCTTCACCTTGCCCCACAAAACAGCTTTTTCACACAGGAAAAAAATACTTACTAGATATCATCAAGTAGGATTTTAGTAAGTCATCAAATATAAAACATTTAACTGCTAACTAAACTCGGATGCATTTACATATATATAAATCTATATAAATGCATTTTAAAGTTGTCAATAGTTGCATATAATGTAATAACAACAAATATACTAAATGCATGTTCTAGCTACAGAACCACAAATCAATCTGTATAGTCAATATGGACAATTTGTCCTTTCTAACCTTGTTTACTCATACATTTCACCGTATTTAATAAAAACTCAGTAATTTACTGAGACTTTACAGTCTGCATTAAATTTGGGTTTCTGACTCTTATAGTTATTTTCTATCATCGCTGACAGGTGAGGCGTGGTGCAACTGTTATTTTTTTGCACTATTGTTAATGTGACCACTCCTTTTTTATTCACTACTGGCAAGGGCCACTACTAAATTTCACACGTCAAGATGCCGATATTCTGCACCTGTACCTAACCTGAGAGTCTTATCGGCCGTTTTGATGGTAAAATATTTGGCTGATGAATACCAAGTATTCCAAGGATCTCAGAAGTGTATTGTATTGTTCATTAAAATCTAGGTAGTTTTCTGGAATGATGAATAGAACTTTTGCTCCTTTTGAATTTCCCTTGTACCGCTGAAGTATTGAGGGTCAGCGCTCTGGGAGAACCTGTCAGGCGGGGTTAGCATCCACTCTGGACCCAACTAGGTCAGTGGCGAGCCGGCCTTCATTTGTATGCAAATCCATGTAGATTTGCTGCTGATAAGGTTGGTTGGATCTTGAGGCATGAGTGGGTCACAAGCACAGAGAATCCAGGCCAAAGTTTATATTCATCTTCATACCCTGCTCAGTAATAAGCTTGGACTCTTTTATTTTTTTTAACTTTTATTCTCCAGGGAAGGTCACCTGAGCTTTATGCTCTTTTTTTGTTGATAACAAGCTTAATTCTTCCAAAGCTCCACTCGGTCACACTTCCAGTTATCCTGCACAGCCTCACACGTGTACCGGTGGTCTCTCAGAAGCAGTTCAGGGTTGACCACCTTTGACAGTGGCTTTTCAGGGAGACGGGAGTATTATCCTTACAGATGGTGTGGAAATTTATAGCCTGTGACTTTCAGATACAGAGAATTTCTGCTATATTTCGAAGGAAACCAAACGGAAAAAGCAAACATAATAACGCCTCATCAACCAGGCTAATGTTGCAATGCTAGTGATCACTGAGTGCTTTCATGGACACATATTTCATTTTCGTAGTTGATATTATAGTGGCCGCAAACCGAATCGAATTGTGTATGCTTGTAAAGACAATACCAGCTGGGTTGGTTAGAATAAAGATTTGCTCCGTAAAGCATAACGCCTTCGTGTCTCATCCAGCTGTGGACCTTTGCTGCACGTGATTTACTATTTAATTCTGCCTTCCTGTTATCTCTATACTATTGTCTGTCTCATAAAGGCATGCAATGGTTGAAAAGAAATCTTTAAAAGTATTATATACTGTAAACTAAAACATGAGAAAAATGGCCATGTGCAAAAGCACACAAAAGCCTTTAACTACAATATTTCAGCTAAGTTCTTACAGACCTCATTTTTTGTTTCTACACCACTTTAAATGTGATTCATAAAGCCCTCAAACTAATACTTATGATTATGAGGTCTTAGCTCTCCTTTACCACAGTTTCCCTCTCATAAAAATTGAGAAAAGTCATGTATGTTTTTTTTTTTTAAAGAATAGGTGAAACACTTTTCTATTCATTATTTCTGCTCAAGGATCTACAGCACAGAGTAACATTAAAAGGGACATTGTTTGTTGCAGAATAAAACTATGACGTCCAGATCATAAAATGAAACCTTTCTTTAAAAACAATGACTTTTGCAGTAATATTCACCTTACACGTTTGTCTAAAACATTTTCTCTAAAGTTTTACATGCGTAGAAGTTCATCAATCTTGGGCTTATGGTTATGAAAAACCAGACATATAGCTGGTAACAATCCATCCCTCTGTGCCTATTATCAGCTCAGGCTAACACATTTAGATTTCACCCACCAGGAACTCCCCCATCCATCTGTTAGCGTGCACTTCTCCCAGCCGAGTTGGGGACATGTGAATGCCACACTCCATCAAGCACGTCAGCTTGTAGATTACACTCTAGACAGGTCCACAAGACTTCTTCATTACCTCCACATTAAACTCCAAATTAGCTGAACAGATCAGCAGTGGAGCTCTGGGTGTCCACACTCATTTTTCATGCATCCAAAGGAGGATAGAATCTTTTAACCGAATGTGGGGAGGTTTGACCGCTGTTGAAGCGAATGTCCATCCAAGAGTGAGCATCCTGGCAAAATATCTGTAAGGGAAGATATTGAACGTCCACCAGCTGAATCATTTTGAGGGGCTCTGGATGAGAGCGGAACTAAAAACATAATATTCAGAGGAGATGATTTTGTGTGTTTCATTCAGCTCTACTGTGCTGTACAGCTGCTCCAACATATCTACAGGGGAATATGAAGCAATTACAGAATTCTAGGTCCTCTGGTTCCGGGCTCAGTTCAGGTGCTGCTGCCCCCTAGTTTTGCCCCTCAGGTTATATGTCAAGTAGAACTCAGGTTATGGGGTTTACCTTCCCTTTGTGGTGCCCCAATTACCTCTGTCATCTGCCATTTAGTGGGCCGGCTTTACTGTCCAGTGATGATGTATGTTTCTTAAATCCTGAGCAGTATGTGCACGGATGTTTTGCAGAAAAAAACCTAAAAAAAGTGTGGGTTGAAAAGATTGTTCAACTCTCTCTACCGATCTTCACTGTCTGTCTGTTGGCTCGTTAACCCAGTTGTGCTACCAAATGATGGCCCCTCAACTGGACATCTGAAGGTCTTCCATACTGAAATAAAGGACGAGCCAGGTGGTTAATACTGAACAGGCCTTCTCTTCTACTTATTCTGCAGTAGTGAGACTTGATTGTCTCTGCCTTACTGCTCATGATCAATCAGTAGCAGTGGATTTTACCTCCGTACGCTGAGCTCAGCATTGTTTGTCAATGACATCAAATCTCTGTGTGACCTTGAGTGATGTTAATGTTGTATTGGTGTCACAATAGTGATAAAATAATTTTAAGTGTGTTAGAAAACAGTGGCAAAAAAGTTATCTGGTTGCCATGGTTAATGTTGAAAGTTCTAGACTTTGAGGTTCAGGTCCTAAAGAAGTCAAAATATTCACTTTACTGCATTGAGTTTTACTTTTTTTTTTTTCAATTTCCTTTGGTATTTTTTCTTTGCACTGGTGATCAGTAACGCATGAACACATGAAGTAACACATGAAGAAGCGACGATCACCTTTGTATATTACATTTTATTACTAATAACATTAGCCTCCAATATTGAGCCTTTCAAAATTGTCAGAACTGTTGGAATAACCAAACTCAATTGTTTTTTCTTTCTCCCTCAAAGGCCTACTCTGTCTATGATGAAGAAATTGGTTATTGCCAGGGTCAATCTTTCCTCGCTGCTGTTCTCCTGCTGCATGTGAGTAAACTTGTCATCCAACCATCCACTGAGCTCGCTGTCTCATGGCCAAGACGATGCACAGATGAATGCAATACATAAACACATGCATACAAACCTGGGATCGACAAAACAACATAAAAGTTTACAATATCACCTAACAACTGTATTTTTCTACTTTCTGCACATTCTAATCAACAACGTTAGTTACTAAAATTCACCAAACCTCCTATACATTTAGGGAAGAACCTGCTCCTGGCTTTTGTTTTTTGTCCCATAAACATTCAGTGAAATTCTGGAATGTTACTTTGATGCTGCAAACTGTGTTTGAGGACAGCAGTCAAACAGAATATTACAAGATTCTACCTTTGAGAGAGCGAATATTTCCGCATTGTGCCGCTTCACCTGCTCGTCTCTGCATCTACAGAGACCACGTCCTGTGCTGGTTGTAAAAAAGCAGAGCTTAGACAATATAAGTGATTAAACGGAGGCTTGAGAGGGAGAGATAAAGAACGTCTCCGGCTGACCGCAGGAATGAACACACTTCATAGCAGAACGATGTGGATGAATAGAAAGAGGGAGAGAGAAGGTAAAGCTGAACGCATAATGCAGCATTAGCAGAAGAGGTGAACAAGACACTTATTCTCTCTCTAACAGATTTAATTACAAGGTCACAGACAGATATTTCTTAAAGAACTTCTGCTCTATAAACCTTTGCCCATACACTTTAAAGAACATCATTTATTTCCAGTACTCTGATCAGTCTTTCTGTGTCTTTTCAAACTAGGTTGCATCATGTAGCACCAATGTGAAATTTGTATTTGGCGGTGAGACGGAGCAGTAGACACATGAAGGCGGGAGACCTAAGTGGAAGAGGAAGTTTGGTTGAAGTCCACTTTACAAGGGCGGCAAAGGTTAAAGAGGGAGAAGACTGTGGAGGCCAAGTCAGGAGGAGGTGGGGTGAGGAGGGATGGTGGGAGAGTCATGGGCGAGAGCAACGGAGAAATTTGGTCAGGACACATCATGATGCTCAGAGGGAAGACAAGGAAAACAGAAAAAAGTTAGTGAGGAGGCTGTAAAAAAGAGGAGTGAGAGAGATAGCGGCAGTAAAATAGAAATAGAGGTTATGTGTAGGTTGTACAGAGGAAGAAGAGGAGGAAGACGGGAGAGGTTATAAAGGAGATGTCAGGAATATTAATAGGGGTTCAGGTTTACCTGCAGGAGCCCATTCAGCCCCAAACACATTCTGTCACTCTGATTAAATATCACCTCGCTGTGTGTGTGTGTGTGTGTGTGTGTGTGTGTGTGTGTGTTTGTGTGTGTGTGTATGTCTGTGTGTGTGTGTGTGTGTGAGAGAGAGAGAGAAATAAACTGATATATTCACACAGAAACATATGCAGTTTTAAACTGCCTGTTATCTTCATTCATCCAAGCAACACGCTATGAAGCACTCACATTAAAGCAAACTTTGCACACACGCATCACATGTAAACACTCTGAGGTGAGTCCCTTAGTGTCATTCACATCGTCGCTTCCTCCGGTCCTTCAGGTTTTATTACACCGGGCCAGTCAAATAATGTTCGATAATAAAATGTGTTCTTGTCTTGAAGACGGCCTGACCACCAGTGTTCATGTGAAGATTCAAACCAGATTCTTTGCTGCCCCAAATGCACATTTTGAACAGTATGTCCATGTTCCTGCATTCAATGGTTATCAATGTGGTTTCAGATGCCAGAGGAACAGGCTTTCTGTGTGTTGGTGAAAATCATGTATTACTATCGCCTGAGAGATCTCTACAAAAACAACTTTGAGGATCTTCACTGCAAGTTTTACCAGCTGGAGAGGCTAATGCAGGTTAGTGATGCAATGTTTTATAAAAATCGAAATGCAGTGGAACACGATAGTGAGAAGACGGCCTGGACTGGATGGAAGTACGATGGCTGAAAATGGGTTGGGAAGTCGGAGGGGCCACTGGTTCTGAAAAATTTCTTTCCCCATTTCTGTATTCCCACTGCAATTTCTTCTTCAAACAATGTACTTATTGACTTCTGGATTATTGACCCAATTGGTTTGTGTCGTCAATGAAACACTAGCAAACTCAAGTTTCCGGATAATCTTAAATTGACTGAATCGATTCGTTTTTCTCAACTGCGTATTTAAAAGAGAAATTCTGACGACATTTCATACTTAATAATTGGATGTTTATTGCTAAAATTGACCTTGACCTCCACCCTCTTAACCCGCAATTGTTAATCCTTTCTTCTCATATTTAAAGAGGTTTTCAACTCAACGTTACCTAATGCGAAAAATGTCTATGGGAAAAATGTATGGACATTTTATTTATAGTTTGCAAATTATATTATAATATTTATTAAAGGTTTATAAGGTGTATATATCGTTATAAATATACCTTACGAGCTATATTGTATATTACAAATCAATTCCTGGTTGTAGTTGACAAAAGGAAAAATCTCACCAATTAATGGCAGACATTTAAACAACTTGGTCTTCAAATCAGTTATTTAGTTCTCATATTATAATTTCAACCAGATTCGATTTTCCAGTTTTTACTATGTTGAGAACAAAGGTCCCTTAAAAGTTTCATTTAATTCCTGATTAAATGCAGGGTTTATGCCATTACTCATATTGGTTGCCACTACAAAGAAAAGACTAGTAGACAGAGCAACTTGCGTTACAAAATATATAAAAGTACGTAGAGCATGTTACCAGTGATTGCATCATCTCTGGGGTGCGACATGTTTGTTGTTGCCTTGATGACCCCGTTCTGTTTCTCAAAATATGATGATAGATGATAGAATATAACAAGAAGTACGTACATGTCTGCGAGTGTGACTTTCGATCTTGGTTGTCTGAACAGCATTCTGTGCGGTGGTTGAGAGGGATGTTTTTGTTGATGCCCACTTGGCTACAACAGCTGAAATCCGCTCACTGATTAGAGCTTAATTTAGCCGTGGAATCCAACCTCTCCCTGCTAGTAGTTGTCTCAACGCATCAAGATCAACTAATTTAGCATCGCCCAAATGCGCTTAATGTAAGGATGTTAGCATTGACTGCTAATCATTAGCGTACCGGTGGGAGCTCCCAATCTGATCCAGTCAGGTGGGATGGTAAGTGTTGTCTGCCAAAGTGGATCGCTATCCAAACGATTGCATCTCTAAAACGCACTTTATACTGAAAGCTCCAGCTGTCTTTATCATGTGTAAATATGTTTTATTCTAACCTAAAAAAAGATGGTAAAGAAAGAGAATAATTTGTGGAAGAAGAGAACAAATGTAGGAACCCGTTATAATAATAATATGTAACATGGGTTCTGATGCACATACACGTTGAACATCTTATGTAACAGATTGCTCAACAACGGTACAATCTCCCAAAACACTTATTCTTAGATTTTTTACATCAGATTTCATGTCACTCTTGCTTTATGCAGTCACATTCACTACAACATAGTATATTTTTATTTTTATTTAATTTGAAAAAGTGTGCAATGTATGCATAATTTAGCCTACTCTTGGACAGCTGGGATTTGAATTGTGTTAGGTGTCTTTTTCAAATTTTTCTCTTGTTCTCGGGGCTCTCTTAAAAGAGATTACCATCTCAGTGAGACAGTATGATTTAATAAAGAATGCGTAGAAATGAAATAATATAAAACTAAAATGACAAACAGAGCCTCGTCCTTCTATTCTCATAAATTCTGTTTCGTCTCATAAGCTTCTCCTCCTCCTTGTCTTCCATCTGCTTCCACAGGATCAGCTTCCGGATCTGTGGTCCCACTTCCATGAGCTTAACCTGGAGGCTCACATGTACGCCTCCCAGTGGTTCCTCACCCTCTTCACTGCCAAATTCCCCTTGTGTATGGTTTTCCACATCACTGACCTGCTGCTCTGTGAGGTATAACTTGGCTCACTGCATTACTATGTACTGGTAGTAAATGGAAAGGGATTTGTACTACACTGTAGAGGAGGAGATGGTCAACGGTCTGGGAAGGTGAGAGTAGTAGGAAGCAGGTAGGACTAAAGGTCACGGAAGAAAGAGAAAGAAGGGCCGAGGTTACTGCTATGGCAACCATGAGGCAGGAAAAAGGAGACGGGAACAGAAAAGGAGTTGGTCCAACTGCACAGTGACTGTGTACTCTCTACATTCTACTGACCAGCTTTGTTTTGCTCTAATATCTTACAAATGAAATCAATAGGGATACGCTGATCGGGCTTTTAAAGGCAGATACAATCATCGATTTGAGGTTGTTAGGACGACATGACCCGATAGCAATCACTGCTTCATGTTCAAAAACATTTCTACAGAAAGCTCCTCTAAGAGGTCTTTTCTTCTTCCTCTCTGGCTCTCAATATATTAAATTAAAGAATGTATTTTGGAAAATCATCTGGTGCCACTATTTTGAGACTTGTCAACATAAACGCGTTAATCTATGGGATTCATGTGACCATCGCGTCCGACATGAGCGGATGAATAAAAGGCGTTGCCAATAACAACAGCTTGAGTTCTGTTAACATTTCAAGGGTACTCATGCATATTTTCGCCAAGTGAAGCAGCAACATAGTATGATGCACTATATTAAATGCTGATAAGTGTAAAGCAAAAGTGCTTGTTACCCAACAGCATTTCACCATTATGCATATTATTGGGTGTAGGAAATGGATTGTTAGTGTTTTTATATATATTTTGACATTTTCTTCCCGTGTTCTGAAAGTTTAATTGACTTGAAGTCACTTGAAACATCAAAAGTCAAATGCCCTATTGTTTCCTCTCCCGTCCATACGCCCCTCCCTCCCTCCCTCTGTCTTCCATGTGGCCCCGGGCAGAACAATTAAAAGTTTCCCAGGTCTGTCTCACCCAATGAGCCGCATGATGAGAATCTGCTTGTTAAACCACAATTCTCATCTTCTCCATCTCTCTCTGTCTACTGTCCTCTTCCGCGCTCTTTCTATCATCTTGTCCCACTGCCATATTTCGTCCTCTCTTTGCTATCTTTCTCTTTCCTTGTTTATTCTTGCTGTTTTCTCTCTTTCCTACCATTTTTAACAACCATTTGTTTTCGTTCTTCTGCTGTCTTTTATTCCCTGTTTATTGACTCATTGTTTAAACAGTAGTGTCTACATTTGTTTTCTCTGATCTCTTTTCTCAGTCTGTCATTGCTCCATCTCTTCACTACCATTACTTATTTGCTCTTTATTCTTATTTATTGATGTTGTCCCTTCCCTCCTGTTCTGTCCTTTATTGCCTCTCAGTTAGCATTCCTTTTCTTTAGTTAGTGGAAGTTCCTTCAACAGTTTACTTTGAAAACTATTTTATTCTTCACATTGGAACTACATTTTCCCGTCTCCCAAATCAATTTTTTATTGTGATTATTATGTAATGTAGCATTATATTATTTATTATCACATTCAACATTTACATGCGTCATAATTAGCAATATCAGTAATAGTATATATAGTAATAGCTGCTTGACTTTGGTTCAGCAAGTGTTTTTCCCCCAAATCCAAGTTACTCACGTTCTTCTACTGATAGGTGGGGAGTCCCAGGCTCCAACTCGATGTCACGTGATGTTTTTAAGTAAAATGTGAGTCGCTATAGAGTCGTTGGTCATTAGAAATTTAGTAACCACTAAGTATTCGGTATTGTCCAGCATTATTTTTTAAGAAGAATCTTACCTCCCCACCACTATATTTACTTAACTGTGCTCGTCATGAATCTTAATATTTGTCATTTCTCGTCATGTAATGCTCAACCTTCAGTCCTCCATTGCAACATTGCCCCGTCACCTTCCCCAGCCTGTGCCACGATGTCTCCCCTCTCTGCATTTTTACCTCTTTCTCCCCATAAATCCTCGTTGGATATACAGTACCAGTCAAAGGTCCGAGCTCACTCTCTTAATGATTCGAATAAGAAAATGTGACCAAACTTTTGACTGTTACTTTACACACTGAGGTTATCTTTCTTTCTCTCGTACGCGCCTTGGATCCTGCCTCAGCGCTGTAGCACCATCTTGAGGCCTACAGACACAGCCGTGGAAAGGCAGAGCTCCCCCTCTCTTTTCTCTGTCTCCAGTTATTTTTAGAGCTGCCCAGATATTTTTAGCTCTGTGTTGCCATGTGAACTGGTTGTCACGGAGACCAAGGAGACGGGTGTTCCCATGCAGAGCTGACATCAGTTTTACATTTTCTTTCTTTCTGTGTCAGAATCCAAAGGATTGTGTTGACAGGAGAGGAAGGAAAAGACACAACGTTACACCATTATTGTGCATGTGAAAGAAAACAAAGCGTCTGAAACAACAATCGGTGACTCATATAGAAACATTATAGATTTAATGTACAAAAGACAGTATAATTTGGCTTTATCTTGTTTTAAAATGAATGGCTATTGTAATGAAACAATACATGATTAAAGCAAGGCACAGTAAACCCAACACACTGGACTGCACGCAAATTTCAGTTCTGGAAGAATATCTTCAGTTTCAGAAATCAATACGCTGAAACTTTTGAAACCTGTTGATGCATATAGACATGATACTTTTTCCCCTCGTGTCCTAATTTATGTTTAATTGTTCTCTTTCAGGGTCTGAGCATCATCTTCAATGTAGCCCTAGCCCTCCTCAAGGTTAGTATTCACTTACATTCGTGTAACCATCTGCTTAAATTCACTTAACTATAAAATCAGTTTTCATGTCAAACACCTACTGCCAATAGTGCTTAATAGTCATGTATTCGTTTAGTTTTGTGTCCAAAAGATGAACCAATGTGGCTTTAAGGTCAAATATTTCCATGAATTGCTAGTAAAAATAAATGAATAAAGATGGTAGTTATGCACATATCAGTTTATTACAGATGTAATTCGTGGGAATGTTACCTCAAAGCTCTGCTCAAAGTATGAGTGGTGAAGCATGATTCTGCAGACATGACTTTGTGTCTGAGGAGGGGCATTGAAAAGAAGGCGTTTCTTGCCCCCTAGTGTTTAAATCAGAAACTGTATCTTGAAGTTAGGAGGCTCATTTGTAAATTAAGACTCATTATGTTAAATATCATGTTGAACCTGATGCGCCATGTCACACCCATACTGCCCTGAGCTAGTTTACACATATTAATACATCTGTAGCATTAGAATACATTTCTCCCATTAGAAGAAACAGTTATGGATGCAGCATGGTTCCTGCAGAGGTTGATAGAGAAATGTATTATTTGTTGTTATTATTATAAAATAATAATTATTATTATTTGAAATCTGTAAACAAAACATTTTAAATGTATTTAAATGGAAGCGTAGAGTCAGACTCACACACATACGCTAAACAAGTAATAGACATTAATAGACAACATTAAACACAACTTAAATTTTGAAAGATAGGAAATGCTGTTTGTAGTCTTTTTGCTTAAATAAAATAAACAATTTAGCATTTTAAAATCATTTTTTAACAGAATAAGTTAAAAAATCAAGAATTTTCATGTAGCCATGGATATCCGGTAAATAAAGGTGGGTAATATCACCCCAAACCATTTCCACTTTTACATCCTCAAATAAACCAAATGTATCAATAAATTTCACAAACATGCAGCTTACCAATATACCAGCCAATTATGAGCCAGTTTAAACTGAAAAGGTAAATGTTACGTTTTTTTTAACGGTAATTAGATATTATGATTAATATAATAGATTAGTATATAGATTGTATTGGTCCCCAATCAGCTCATAGACAAGTAAATGTCCAGTCAATTTATGTAATATTTTTATTGTTAATGCATGTGATATTATTATAGGTCCTAACATATTTTGACATTACCTCTAGAAGATGCCTATGGACAAATAGAAGAAATTAAGAGACAAATGAAGACATAAGATTTCTAACAATAGTACATTTACAGGTTCAAATAAAAGATGCATTTTATTTAGCTTTTTTACGCAGTCACACTCAGGCTTTCCGCTGTAAATGAATCACACATGGTTGGTTTTTAGAACATCCTCCTGCTCTGCATCTTGGCAATAACGTACTCTGTGAGCCAGACAGAAAGATGTGGTGCATGCGATGGTTGGAAATGGAGAACAAATGAGGATTTGAGGAGGGTGGAAGGGGCTTCCACTGCATGCCTGTCATTGGTCAGGCATGACGGCATTCTCCCCCGAGATTCCCTCCTCCCTCCTCCACCCATCCTGTTCTCCTCCGCTCTCATCCCCCTCCCTCCATCTGTGTTCACCTCCCTCCCTTTCGTGCTTAGCAGTTGCTCTACCCATCACAACAGGAGCATTAGCTATAGCGTTAGCAATCTGGACCTGGAGGGGGAATAAAACATTTTTTTTTTTTTTTTTTCCGGACAATTTTCTTTCACCATCTGAGCCTCCCATGGATGTTTGCTTCGAGCTTTTATCCCACAGTTCATCATTCTGTGTCTCATTTACCTGATAGCATTACCTCTGCCTCCTCCTCTTCTCTGTTCGCTGGCTATGCATTTCTTCAACACGCTACCTCTGTCCACCATCCAGACCTCTGCAATGGAGCCGCCCCTGTTAGCTGCTAGCCATTAGCTGTTAGCACAACAAAGAAAAAGTGAGTGTTAGGGAGCGCGAGCAAGGCTTAGAGAGTGAAAAAGAGAGAGACTGTGGACTGAAAACACTGGTTTTGTTGCATTGCACCCCCCCCCCCCCCCGGCTGTGGACCAGGAACATCCCACGTGTTAGCCCAACATACACACTTGTGTACTCGGTGCCAGTCGAGAGGCAGAAGTGATTTTCCATCTGAAGAAGCTGACTCCAATCTAAAGTATTTTCTGACCGATACAGACCGGATGCTTGGCTGCTGCTGCTGATGAGAATCTTCCGCAGGGACACTGGAGTCCAGTCTAGAGCTGATCAATGTGGTTGGCATGCGGTCCGACTTCAGATCAGGGGGGTATTTCAGTGAAGACGGACACAGAGAGGCAATCGTAAAATACGCTTTCATCGTTTTTTCTACCCGTTTCCTCATGTTGTTTTTCATGCATCCGTGGCTTAAATCTGACTCAACGAATGCAGCGTCCACTCAGCCATAAACAAACACAAATGCATCATCATCTCCTGAAAGCAGATAGCTCCATCCTCCCATGCAAGCTGCCCACATCTCGTCTGCTTCTGCCTCGTCATCAGAACCGCCAGCTCTTCAGATAAAAGGATTCATACTGTTCTTTCCTTCCTTTTTTCCTTCCTCCATACCAGGTGTGGCCTCTTTTTTTGAAACCGGGGACAACACGCATCAAGCTTTTTGATGTGTCGTCTCACACACACACCGAGCCTTCAGCATTAAGGCCTCTCAGCTGCGCATAGGGAGGGAGATTTTCTCTTTGCCTTTGAAGTCTAACAACGAAGGAAGGTGGAGTACTCATCCATCGCTGCTGTTTGCCTGAGCAGCGGTCCACGTGTTTGGCAGCTTTGTTGCTTGGCAACAGTGTACTGGATTGGAATTGGTTGGGGGAGTTGGGCACGGGACGATGAGAGTGGGTATTGTGACTGGATTTCAAAGTGAATCTGGCATCAGGTAGCCGGAAGACTCAGCATTATGCCGAAAGCAGCGTCCACACATCATTTTCTGACTGTCATTTTGTGGCACCGCATTCCTGGGCTCTGACAGTGGTGCAAGCTGGGTGGCCTCCACTGACGCTTTGTCCACTTTTCTGCGTTGTGCTTTGCATCTCTTAACTGGATTCATGTTGACGACGCACGCTTTACACTCCGAGGCTGTCTCTGCTGTTCCTGTTATCGTCTTGTCTCTCCTTGCCGAGCCGGCATCCTGAACATCGTTCTGTGGCGACACTGACCTTATCAGCATCTCCTCCCAGGTTGGTCCCCTGGTTCACCAGAACCCAGCCAGTTTGGCTGGGACAGCGACCTGGAGACAGATCTGTGCTCCTTTAAGTTGAACACGCTCTGCTCCCGGTCCACCCGGGCCTCAAACCCCCCCCCCCGAAACCCATCGAGACGTTAGGACGACACGCTGGAGTCACCGGGTCACCCTGGCCCCGGAGCGGGACCGCCCCTCTGCCTCGCCCTGCCCCACTCCACGCCCATCCCCTCCACCCTCCCCTCCGCCCTTCCGTCCCCCTCACACCTGCCTTGACCACACACCTGCCCCTACCAGCAGTACGCACGGCGGAGGAAGATGGAGAGGAGAAGCCGGAGGAGAGTGCACACGGCAGTCAGGCCTCCGCTGACTCGTACTGCAGGGTGATGGGTCTCCTTGGCATGGGACACCGGCTCTTTGTCCCCAAGCTACTGGCGGTGAGAGAAGGGGACTTGAAAACAGGATGGATGAAAGAAACTGAGCATGCAGGGAAGGGCCGGGTTTAGAGATAAAAAGGCATGGTCGTTGGTTTGATCATTGGAGGAACTTGGAGAACCAGCTAATTGGCCCAAGTTTATTTTAAATAGAGATGGGTAGCGTGTTAGTTCTCTGCTAAAAACTAGAAGTGTTACATGGATGTAAATCTCATGAAGGATAAAAAGGACACCTCACAATCTCCTATTGATAATGCCAAGTTGTAAATTTTATCATTTTTGGATTCGCTCATTTGCCATCAGAAATAAAACAAAAACATGATCTACTCTTTTTGCTTTTATAAACATACATACTATGTCTTTAAGTAACAATTTATCAGCCTTGCACATTATATCATGTCTGGTTGGATTCCACAATTCATACTTACACCACAAGATGGTGTTATTGCTTGTTGTTTACTGTGATTCATCTTGAAGTTCAGCCACAGAGCTGCCACGCTGTATTATTTTGGCGTTTTCTGAGGCATTTTGAGGGTTTTTTTCATGCCGCTGTTCTTTGCTCCAAGCTCTGCAATTCAATACTTCTAAGTGGATTATCTTTTATTTTTGTATTTGAACATATTTGATCGAAGTCAAACTTAGAATAACCTGCAGTGACATATTGTACATCTGTCTTCACACCCACTTCCTCTCTTCTCCCAACTCCTCCTGTCTTGCTGCAGACCTCTAAAGAGGACCTCTTGCAGGCGGACTTTGAAGGTGCTCTCAAGTTCTTCAGAGTTCAGCTTCCAAAACGCTACAGAGCTGCAGAAAACGCACGCAGACTTATGGAGCAGGCCTGCAACATCAAGGTAAAGGGCATCCTTGATTTCCTTTATTTGTCCATGAAACACTACATCGCAGGAATAATGGTTGAACTTTTAATTGGTATGCTTTACAAAATATCTCTCTTTTCGGTCTGTGACTTTGGAGTATTGGATTGGATTATTTCCCTGTTTTTACATAGTGTAGTTGTAAGTTAACAGGATCCGTGCCATCCTCTCTTATATTTCTTGAACTAAAGTGATTTATTTATTCCTGTTAGGTATGGAGATGCTAATCTATAATCTCTTGTTCTCTGTACATCTACTGTGTTGTTTAAATCTCTCACTGCTCTCATAGCGGTGTATTTGGCTGCAGAATGCAGCTGTTTTACCAAACAAGATCTTAAAAGCTTCCTGCACGCCACCTGCCAAGTAGTTTTGCCATTTTATTTGTAGTTTAGTTGTGTACCTTTTATTGGATACGGACTGAAACAGCAGGTACAAGATGGCTTTCATAAGTTACCAGGTTGCATACCCCCCCCCCCCCCACACACACACACACACATCCCATTATCATTCTCATTTTGACCTTAATGAGGCTGCTGGCAGTTCAGGAATTTACTGAGGTCACCAGAGACCAAAAGCAGGACACAGTGTGTGGATGTGGGAGTGCGTGGAGGTTAAGGTCGGCTTGCCTGCCACTCTGTCTTGTGATGACAAAGGCCGGGCTACCTGCCGCTCTCTACGTGCCGTGTGCCCTTAGAGGGTGTTGTGGTGGAGCCTTGTCATGTCTAGATCTTTCTCATGACAAACCTTCAGTGAGTGAGCAGGTTGTGATGCTGTGTGTTTTGTTCGATGCCGCATTAGCCAGATGCATGGCCTTAGGTGCTTGAGATTTCCCATGTTTGGTGTTTTTCTGTGTTTTTCTACATGCAGGATATCCTGCACTGATGATCGCTGTTTATCTCTAGTGGTGTGGCGACATTTTTGCACAATTCTGCTGAAATGCAAAGCATTATGACAGGGCTTGTGTTGTAAAAGAGTACACACACACTCAAACGTGTACCTACACACACATTACAGACACATTTATAAACCTACATCCCCGCATTCTTCCTAAACATCCCCTTTTCTTTATCGTTTTTATTGTAATGGAACTATTGGTTGTCGTCACTGTGACGATCATATGCATTGAACTTGTGTACATGCGTTATCCTAATTCACACTTTCATTCATTAATTCCCTTGGATTTTTCACCTGTAGTAATGGGTAAGCACATCAACAGGATTGTAGACACACACACACACACACACACACACACACACACCATGGTTACTCTTCCCTCAGCACTTCCTTAAACATTATTCTCACTGGAGAGAATACTGAACAAGTCGAGGGTTACACAACAAAAATAACATGTAGGAGTCTGAGATCCTAATCCTAAATTACTTTTAGAAAAATATTTGGAACAAGTCAGCCAGAGAGAGGGAAATAAAAAGAAAATGTTGAGAGAAAAAAGGGGAAGGAGCACAACCAAGAGTCTTACATTTTTATCATTCCTCCAGTTTTCCTCCACTGACCATCTAACCAACCCGTTCTAATACAGATCACAGCGTCCCACATGAGAGTACAGCAGATGCAATTCTCTCCCACAAGGACTCATGTTCAAACACCATCAGCGAGAAAGGGGGGAAACCAGCCTGTTCAAGTCGTTTTGCTCTTTGTTCACCCCCCTTTTACATATTTTTCACTGTCAACGTCTGAATCGGATCAGGGGAACTCTGTAAGCTGCTTAAAACATCGAAAGAATTCACTGGCACCTTGGCTTGATTAACACAACGGGCAGTAGGATGGCTTAGCCTCGCAGGGGATTATGGGAAGAATTTGAATTTCTCAGCCTCCTTAAACATCCGCCCTGCCGCAGCTGGAGTGCTAACTTTTCAGGACTTTGAGAAAAAAGGAAGAGAGAGAGAGAGAGATGTCGTACATTCGTTTATCGCTCAGGGTTTGACTGAAGAATCCGTTTTTTCTTTCAGTGGAGAAGCTAAACTTTATAACACTAAGTAGAAAGAAGATGTGACACCGACAATCATTTAGAGAGTCGTAAAGAAAAGGGTAGCAGAGGAAAGTAAATTCTGCTACATTAACACTTACAGAGTTTATAGAATAGAAATATTTGATTGAATATGAAGCTTGTTATTATTTTACAACACACAAAATATTGATGGATTTGATTCATTCCACTCCCTTTTTAGACACGTTAGACACGTTATTTAGACACGTTAGATTATTTAAGTACCTTATCGTTGTGTTTCTCATCTCTAGTGGCGTAGAATAATACACACAGTGCTGGCCCTCACAAATTGCGTGAACTCAACCAAATCAGTTATTGTATCCCCCTCCCTTTATAAATGCATTCTCTCTGGAAACCCCTGGAACTATTGAGCTAAAAACAAGACTCTTTACTCACATTCACATTCTTCAACAAAGGGACCTCTATGGTGCAGCGCGATGGGATCAGGGACACAGTGAGAGAAGCACAGACGCCCGTTGACGCATCTCCTCTGTGGACATCCACTGAGAGGGCGTCAGGTAGTTTTTATCCACGGGGTCTTGTGGGAGGGTACCGCAGTGTTCAGGCACAGTCAAGGACAGCCTCGGTGCCGCTTTCACTTCGCCTGCTGGGTTTCTGCTGTCGGAAGGATGTGGAACTAAGAACGATTAGTCACTGTGGTTGATCTGACAACTTCCTTCCGATATCTCTTTAGCTCAAACACACATGCGCGCACACAGCTTTTATCTTTATCTTTATCTGCAACAGGAAACAGAAAGAAAACAAAATGTCCTGTGTGCAACCTTCACAGTGGGAGGGAGTGAGGGAGACGTTGAGGGAGAGAGAGAGAGAGAGAGAGAGAGAGGGGAGGGGGATGGACTCACTCAGTGGAAAGGAAGAAAAAGTCACATCATCCTGTCACGCACTTCTAGCGTTACAGAGAGGGAGAAAACAAACAGGTGTGTTGTACTACGCTCTCGCCCCCCACACACACACACCCTCCTGCTCTCAGGGGGCGGGGCTCGGCTCGGCTCCTGAGGGACTCTTGAAAGCAGCCAGTCGTCGTCGTCTTCTTCTTCCCTCTCGGAGAGAAACCCGAATCTATCAGCTGCATTCCGCGCCTCTGCCACTTTCCCTCCTTCATCCGGCACGTCGCTGTTGTCGTTTGGAGCTAGAGGAGTCAAGATGATGCAGGAGGTGTCCATAATGGTTGCATACGACGCTCATGTAGTCGACCGACCGGGTGAGGAGGACACTTTGACTCGCTTGGTCGCCCACTCCAGACCTCTGAGAGCTCCCAGACCGGTGGTAGGTCTGTTTCTTTGCTCATTCCAGTTGTCTTTCTTTTATTGTCATCTCTTTCTCTCTCTTTCTCTCTCTGATTGGAGACATTCCCAAATTTTCCATCTGACCTTTATCTTGTGCTGTTTTTAGATAAGGATAGAGGGCAAGCGGAATGCACCTGCATTCTTTATTATTTTATTGTAATCTCAATTTATAATTGTTCTCCTTATGGTATTTCTTGTTTTATAAAAAGCAGGCGGAAGTTTGATTCCACAGAAACTAACTACATGTTTCTCTCCATGTGGTTAATAATGTAAACTGTATGATGATCTGCTCCACAGACTTCAAGAATACCAACTAAAATCCAATTTAGTTACCGGTGTGTTTTGTTGTTACTGAAAGTGTGTCAGATGTTTGAGGTTTTATCACTCGTTTGTGTCAGTTGTCTTCAATTACGGATACGAATTTGGAATCAATCGAGACCTTTATTTGCGTGTGTGTGTGTGTTTGAATGTGTGTATGGGAGAGATACATAAACCCACAAAACCAAACAAACTGTTTTTGATTGCTTTTATATTCATTCATACAATGAAGCACTTATGTTGAAACACGTTTCATTTCCATCCTGTGGGTAACTGAAATCCATGGCCTGGTTTTTAATGACATGTCGTTAGTTTTGTCCTTATTTTGATATTCAAACCCATGGACTGGCAGTTTATATAGTAGCGTATCGCCGTTTCAATGCTCACACACACACATACACATACACGCCAGATATAACTGTACAGTGCGTGATCTCCGGTTGGTGGTTTGGGACCAATTTCCTTTTCTGCAGCAGAGATTCAGGTCAGAAATCTATATGTGGGCCTGGTACCATTTCCAGTGGCACCAAACGCTTTAATCGCATTACCTCAATCCAAGTGGCCTCCGTCCTCCAACTAGACTTTCAATATGTTTATACTGAAAGCATAGCACGTATGAGGATGCAGAAGAAGGTACAAACCCTTTGTCGGGATCTGCGTGCGGGCATGTCTGTTCAATAGCTAGTGTGAAAGTAAGCCATTTAGATCAATAGAATTATTAATAATCACTAAGACTATTCAACAAGCGGCAGGGAGGCCTCGGGCAGCCGGACCTCTCGGGAGCAGTGAGAACGAGGGTCTCCCCGACAAGCTTTGGACCAGAAAGAGTCAGGTTCAAGAGGCCTAACCGCTGGAAGCTGTGGTGTCTGTGGCTTGACCAATCAGATCTCAGGGCTCAGAAATCGCTCAGGTGTGAGGACCAACTCCTGGCAGGGATTTTTTGTCCTGTGGCAGAACTGGAGGCCAAAATGCAGCCTTTGTTTCATGCAATGGTGGGAGCACCTTTAACTTCAGGTATGCACTGTTCTGCAACCATTTTAGCCCGCTGTCTGAACACGACGCTGAGCCTCACACGTGCTCACCAGTTGTAACTCATTGGAGCAGGAAGCAAGTTAGTTTTCCTGATGGGAAATGGGGGAATGTCTAGATATATTAAGCAGAGTTTGAAATGATCCTGTGATAAAGCTGATAACTGGTAACGCTGAGGAACTTAGAACCGCTACTTATAAGTTACTAAATATATCAGCCACACAATGAAAAAATTATATAAACATCAGTCTGCCTCCAGGCGAAAGTCGGGTAGTTCTTAGTAATTGTGTCAGTTTGTGGAATTTATTTTGCAACACATTTATACAGTCATTGCATCAGATGGTTTGCAACAAAAATGGCCACAAGACCAGGAAGCACTGAGGCCGTTTTTATTGAACGGTGGAGATCTTGTGTGATAAAAGATGTACTGGTTCTGTGTGTGTGTGTGTGTGTATGTGTGTGAATAAAAGCTTTACCTCTATCAGGTGAGCACAGCCCTACTCTGCTTTGCAAGAGTCTGTGTGTTTTACGGGTGTTGGAGAGTTGCATAATCAGTAGCTGGACTTCAGCTTGTCAATTCGATGATTCTGGTTTTAATGTGTAACTCACAAGAGAACAACACTTATGTGCAAATGTTTAGATGCATTTTCTCTTTCAATTCATTTCCACGTGTTAAATTGGAAAATCTAACAAGAGTGAGAGAACAGATTATACTTACTGGCAGTGTGAGTTTTGTAAACTTTAATGTCAAACCATCACATCACATACTGGAAGCTTGGAAAATATGACCGTCTTTAACTGATGGGGTAGGTTTTTGCTTAAAGGCCATGAATGAGTGTGTGAGACGAGGTGAAAGCACAAACGGAGAGGTGGGTTTAGGATCGCGTGGGTGTGTTCGAGTCACAAAAAATCTGAAAATCTGGAGGTGTTGAGCATCTCATGAAACACGCACATCGCATGTTACTCCCTCTCACGCAGTCTCTGTCCTTTGTGCATTCCTTGTATGTTTCTCTCACCTTGTTTTTATGTGTGGAGATAATCTGTCATCAGTTTTAACTGATTAACTTGGTTATTGCTGGCATTTTCTTTACTCTTTGTCATTTTCAACATTCAGGACACATCTATATTTTATAGGTGAGATTCCTTTTTATGGTACATTTCAAGCCTCTTTTAATACTACTACTTTTTTTACTATTATACTAGAATACAAACTAAATTGTTCCATCAAGAATAACAAAGACACACATACTAGTGTGTAAATTAATTATTTTTAATAGATTATTATTGTGCCAGATGTGATCTTTCTGCCAGAGAGAAAGGGATTCATCTCACACCTAACATGAAGCATGCAAGACGCTCAAGAAGTAAATGGCATACAAGGGTGGGACATTAAGTACTCGACAGACACGCACCCATGGCAGCCTCAGAGGAGGGGGGTCATGTGACTGGGACTGACTCCCCAGCACTACTGGTGGTTGCTATGGTAATGCCGTTTCCACACAGGGGAGATGACGTTACCACCCACCTGAATCTCACACACAGATGCAGTTCAACATCATCATTGTGGTCTCATACGTCACTGTTGTTTGGTTTCAAACAAGCCCCGATTGTTTTAAAGTTACTTTCAGTTACAGTTACAACGCGGTGAAAACTGCTTTGCTCTGCTGCTTTCCTGTGTCATGACCGATGCATCATCTTTGTGTGAGTTTTACTTCATAGATGCAGGTTTAGATGCAGGTTTAGATTTCCCGACATTTTAATAGTCTGTAGCTTTTCAGTATCCATCCTGCCGTAACTAAAAGTCACACGTTCAATCACCAAATATTTGACTAAATATGTGCATATCATTATTGAAAGAGACATAAAGGAGAGTGATTAATTTGTTTTTCCGGGCCGCACATGTTTAAAAGTATAGGAGGCTTTTTGTTGTATTTGGATATTTTAATTGCTAATTATGACACTTTGCACTCCTAATTTACACCACAGGAAGGGCCGCATATTGTTTACTGAAAGAAACTGGTAGCGCATCAGTCGGTGACATCGCTCATCCTGTTGGCTTTAATCTGAATCTTTTTTCTTTTTTTTAGGTTCCAACGAAAAAGCTGAAGAAGTTTGAAAAGGAATATCAGACACTGAGAGAGAGTCAGCTGCAACAAGAAGACCCCATCGACCGATTCCAGGTAGGACGCACACAAACACCAACGTTAAGATGTAAGATTATTTGTTCCTCGTTACAGAAGCAAATTCCTGAATCTTATTTGATTATTTGATTGAATTGCTTCCCAGATGGTAAGAAAAAAAAAAGAAAAGTTTCTGTTGTAGTAATTCTTTGCTAAAATTAGCTCCATGTTTCCAATATTAGACATCTCCTGTGAATACGATGTCGTTGATGTTTGGGACACAGTTCTGGCTGGAAAAAAAAATAGATAAAACATCTATAACGTTTATTTTTGGGCGAAGTTGCATTTTTTTTGCTGCTGAAAGTGATTTTGTCTTCAGAGGGTTGTGACGGGAGAGGTGAGGCACATATTTAGACATTCAAAGTCATTAGACGACATCTTTTCCTATCAGAATATCTGTCCTTTCCTCTTGATCCTCTTTAAATAATTAATTTGGGGTTTTTTGAATACTGATTGGTCCAATAACAGGTCAGTAAACAGAGTTAGTTATTTTCCCCAAATTTGTAAAGCATTCAAAGCAAACTGAGGGGTTCAGATAATCATTTGTATTGCTGGCAAATTTTCTTATTAATTAAAGGAATAGTCAAGAGAACTTTTAAGTTGATGTCTTTCCATAAGCACTGATCATGTAATGTGTTTTTAAGTAGTGGACAGATTCTTAGTTAAGAACTTGTTACTATTCCTGTAACAAAAAGTTAAGTTTTAAAGTAAAGGCCCATTTCTTCTGTTCTGTTTTGCACTAAGTTCATAACTAAAGCTCCAGGTTCTGGCAAAGATACTTTTACTACATGACTTTCAGCATATCAAACTGCTGATGCTGAAATATTGTTTTTAGACCATGAGGGGTCCCAAGTTATTTGATTAAAATGAAGTCTTTATCAGGATATTCAGAGAATCTAATGTTTGTTCCTGTTACTCAGCAGTTAGAAACCCGCCCTTCTTTCACAACACCTCAATGTGCTGGATCAGCGCATTGTTGCCCCTGATCCCTTCAGCCACATGCAAATAGAACTCCGTTTGGCTTTAATTGAATGGATTTCAAAATGCTCGTCTGTCTAGCTGAAAACAAGACGATGTTTTTGCGGCAATCATCTTATTTCCTGGGATGAGTCAAAATGCTCGGGTGGAAAGCTGCGTTCTCGTTGTTTCGCTCAGAGCTGAAAAGGCTGCTAGTTCTGGAGGAAAGGAAGGAAGGAAGGTTTCTTGGTTGATGAGACAACTATCAGCCATATCTGTAAGACTTTCTTACAGAGCGAGAAGACAAAACAGGAATGTTGCTGCGTCTAAATGAGCTAATTAAATAACACTTTCACTGAACGAATTCCTCTTTGAGAAATGGTCACAGAACATTTGTGTATGGTTCATGCTCGTGGTTCAGGTATGTACCTTTTCTGCTGTACTGTTTGAGCTGCCTGCCTCGTTTGGCTTTAAAGTAAATTTGTGACTTTTTCGGCCAGTGGTACTTTTCTTCAGCTGTATTCATCTTAGTACAAAATAAAAGCATTGGAAAGAGGAATTTAAGGAGAGGGGGGGGGGGCAAGGCCAGAAAGGGAAACTCCTGTCAGGATCCTGTGTTCAGTCAGAGCGGCTGGAGGCTCGATACACACGTTGTTGTTGTTGTTGTCGTTGTTGTGTGACTGGACAGCAGCACGGGGAGCTGCCTCTGTTTAATATGATTACATCGATTTTGTACAGGACATTCATATTTTATACATACCAGTCATTTATTTTCCTGATTGGCCATGATTGTTAGACTGTTTAGCAAGATTTTCCAAAGGTAGTGTTGAATATTTGAGTTTAACGGCTCAGATGTTTAATCGCTTTAAAACATGAAGAAGCTGCAGCAGCAAAACGTCTCCCGTCCTCATGAAGCCGTGTAGGTCTTTCCCCGGTTTGCCAAAATGAAACCCATCACTTATCTGCCCACAGGAGGGTATTGATTTCATCTGAAGAGGAGCAGACAGAAACAAACAGTCTCTGACACGTGTGACTGAGTGTGTGTCTCCTGTGTACAGCTGTTTAGGGAAATGTACGTTTTTACTTTTTGATCTGCTTTGTTGTACCGTCATCATTAGATGTTTATTAATACTATGTAGTTGTGCCTGTGTGTGCGCACGTGTGTGTGTGTGTGTGTGTGTGTGTGTGTGTCTGTGTGTGTGTGTGTGTGTGTGTGTGTGTGAGGAGTTAGTGGTGGCAGAAAAGGTCATCGTTAGGGGGACAGGACATCAGGGTCAGGTGACATGGCCATGTGAGACCGTACAGGCAGACCAGTAGTCATGAGACTCTAATGGTTACAATGCAGGCTTTAAGATTAGGGATTGTGTGTACTAGTGTGTGTGTGTCTTTTTAACACAGCTTGGTTTACAAGGCTGCAACATTAAATTGAGACTATTACAACAGTGGTTTTTGCTTTTCAATTAAAGCATCTTTAGTTTCCAGAACTTCCAGAGTTTTGGACTTGTGAAAATGTTCTTATGAACCTGTTTAAATAAACGCCCATAAAACACGTGGTCAAGTGTTTATTGCTCTTGTTTCTTAGTTTTGCTATCAGAATACTTTGGCGTTGCTACGTGTTTTTTTAATTCACAGCATTCATGTAAAATCAAAGAGTTGAACTAAAAAGTCTCTGCTCAGACTCCTGAGCGAAGCTTTGGTTCGTGCTCTAGAGTGCATGGAAAATGCTTTCCGTTGACAGTTTTTCATCAACACTACAGGCACTCATACTATGTCCAACTGTGTGTATGTGTGTTTGTCCAGAGGGAGAACCGTCGTCTCCAGGAGGCCAGTATGCGGCTGGAACAGGAGAATGACGACTTGGCCCATGAACTGGTCACCAGCAAGATTGCCCTTCGGAACGACCTCGACCAGGTAACGCAGCACGTCCTCCCCACACTGTAGTTTCCCGACTTTGTCTCAAGTTAAAGCTGAATGAATTACCTTATTAACTGCCAGCATTCAATGATTTATACATAGAGCTGGACGATAATATGCTGCGAATGCGAAATTCACTGCACCCAGTGAGTCATTTCCACAAGAACAGCAAATATTGTGAACTCATCTCACTACTGGAGGACTGTAGCTGTGGTGGGAAGTCCTCCGTGTAGAACTCGAGAACTGTATTTATGGATTAATTGTAATGTTACAAAACTGCAATTGTTCCACTGTGTCCAGTTTTCAATGTGCACTCTGACGGTCGTGTGACACCGACCCTGTGTTGAGGTTTCCGATCTGGTATCAGTTGGAGGGATTGTCTGTTTGTGTGTGTGCACTCAGGCAGAAGACAAGACTGATGTTCTGAACAAAGAGCTGCTGAGCACCAAGCAACGTCTGGTGGAGACGGAGGAAGAGAAGAGACGGCAGGAGGAGGAGACGGCTCAGGTAACACCTGTCCCCTCGTTAAAACAATTACTTATGGCCCAACAATAAAGACACCTTAGTGACGTCCAACTTAGTAGATGGGCGTGCCAGTGGGATGCACACTCTTCGATTGGAGGTCACACCCGCCACCCACCAAAGTGGTCAATATAAGTGTTATAATTACTATGCTTAAAGAGAGACTCCTGCAGTGTGCGTTTTAACCACATCCATTACTTATGTCGGCACAGTGGATGTTTGATTGTTGCTAAGGATCGTTTATCACCAGGACATTTGCATATGTACAAGCTCTCCCTCCGTTATAATTTTGTGTTTTTGTCATGTTGTTTTGTTTCTCCCAGCTGAAAGAAGTGTTCAGGAGGGAGCTTGAAAAAGCAGAGCTGGAGATCAAGAAAACTACAGCGATCATAACTGAATATAAACAGGTTTGAAATTTAACTTCCTCCAAATGTATATGAAAATAAATGTATAAACATCTCACTCATTTGCTCTGTACACTCTTTACAGCGTACTACAGTTAACTGCAAAGGTTTCATTTTTTGGTTTCTAGTCCCACTGTTTCCCTGCGTTAATAAATTGTACGTAATAAATATGTATCGTAATAAATAAATATGTATAATTGGTCCAAACGGTGAGAGAGACAACACTGTTTTGATTGAGTAGTTCTATTGTGTCGTTTCATACATGACCCAACCTCCTAAACTTGTCACAGATCTGCTCCCAGCTGAGCACCAGGCTGGAAAAACAACAGGCGGCAACAAAAGAAGAGCTGGACTTCGTCAGGGTGAGATCCCGCTGTCGATCTACGGCCACTGTAGCAGGAAGCAGATGCAAGTTAGGAGACGTGAAAACATTTAATTAAAACTACACGGTTGTATCAAAAGAACAAATTCCCTACAGAGACTGTTCTGACTTTCAGTTTGCGTAAGACAAGTCCGGGTTCCAACATTATCACAGCTATAACGAGCTTTTTTAGCCATTGTCAAGCATGTGATATTCTCGGGTGTATCGACTCAGGACATTCTTCTTCATGTAATGTATTACCAGGAAGGGACGGTGACACTGTAGTAATTGTAAATCTTATGTTACATACACGTCGTTGTGAGAAACTAATGAGGACTAACAATAGATTGAAGCTGAAGGGACAAAACCCAATTCATAAATAAGCATTGTAAATGTAATGATAGGCTATGATTAACTGTCTTCGTATGTTAGCTTGGGATTCATTGTTAAATAATGTCTACGCAAGATTGTTGGGTGGTAGATTGCAGGGTGTATTTTGGTGGGATGAATGAGCTGTGGATTGAATTTCCTGTTGCACTGTGAGGTTCAGGCTATAAAGTCAAAGATGGATCACATACTGTTGGGTTTGCCACCCAAGATGTATTCTCTGGCTTTAGCTCAGCCTTTTATGTCTAACATGGTGGGTCTGTCTCCTCAGACATGTGATTCTAGATGGACAACTATGTGTTTTCACCTGAGCCCACATGTCTCTGCAGTGTTTAACCCACCAAACCCTGCTAACGCGCATCCTCCGTTGTGTGCCCATGCAGAGTAAAGTAATGGGCTGTGACAACTGTAGGGACCTTTTCACAACCCTGGGATCCCTTCAGGCTTCGTCCCCTGGCAGGGACAAGACGTACGGCGAGCCATCGGACGAGGAGAAGGACGGACTGAAGGAGCAGCTGAGGCACCTGGAGCTGGAGCTGGCACAGACCAAACTGCAGCTGGTGGAGGCCAAGTGTCGCATCCAGGTCAGCAGCACAGGGAGACACAGCCATGTCAAAAACGATAACAACCGCTGCACAGATGCAGGACAGTGTACCGCGGGGTGGGAGCTTCAGCAAGTTGATCAAATTCATTTTAAGGTGGCATCACAAAGAAAATAATTTTGGGTGCTCGCGATAACAAAACAAAGGAACAAAGATACCCAAAGACGAAGTTCAAGCAAATGCTGGATCCTCTGTGGCTCTTTATTTAGGTACTGCAGTGCTTTGAGGTAAATACACACGTCCACATGCTTACAGTGATAATGCTGACATGCTGTTTCTCAACGCATCTGACAACGGCAACATATCTCATTATCTCACAAAGCACCACTGAGGCTTCTTCATCAGTTCTGCTGTAGTTTGGTCACAAACCAAATGTTGACACACAAAGAAGGTTGATTTAAATTATACAGGTGTTTGAGAAGACTGATCATTTGAATTGGCTTTAAAGATGCTCATGAGTGATTAGAGAAAACTTTTGTAGCTGGACGGGCTGCACTGCATTTTCGATAAGCTCCCGCTGACTCCTCTGTGGTCCTCTTGTGTCTTTGCAGGAGCTCGAGCACCAGCGCGGAGTTCTGATGAATGAGGTCCAGGCGGCAAAGAACTCGTGGTTCAGCAAGACTCTGGGCTCCCTGAAGAGCTCTACCTCCTCTTCCTCCAGCTCCACATCCCAGACCCCCTCCTCCCCAAAGGAGGGCCCCGCCTAGAGGACCCTCCCTCCATCTCTCCTTTGCCTGCAGGACGCACATTAGAGCTGAGGAACACAGGTTGAAGAAAACAAGCAGCCGAGATATGTAGAGTTCCTTTTTCAGCCACTTGCAAAGCAACGCTCATCAGCTTCTTGGACTCCAGATATAACACAACACCATGAGGAGGAAAGAGGCGGAGCACTGGACCGGCCACCTGTCTTCCACTTAGCGTTTACGTTCAATGATCCTCTGCATCATCAGTAACGACCACTGAATTTAATGTTGTTTGTTAACTTTTTATTTTCAGTAGTCGCTGAGCCTGTTGGTGAACTGAATGAACCTATACAATGGCATCCCCCATACAGGGGAAGGATTTAGCTCCACCTTGGGACCAGATAATGCTTCTGCAGTCATAATACATTTATCTGTATAAGATTATGTTTTAGATAGCATAACATTCAGTCTCACAAGTTGGACAATATTTAAATAATAGCGACAGAGGTTCATTCTAAGAGATACTGCTAAGTATGCCGCATAGAAATGTAGTGATCAGCAACGAGGATCTTCATCGCAGCAAAGCCACAGAACAAGGAAAAAGGAATACTGCCGTCTTAAAAGAGGTCGACACAAGAAGTTGTATTTCATTATAGTAATATAACGTAAACAATGTTGTCATATAAATATGTATAACTAATTATTGATTTTGTAATAATCTTGTACAGTTCTTTGAGAAGACATTTTTTTTTTGTTTTGTTTTTTTACCGTTTGGATTTTGAATGTCGCCACATGTTGACATAAGCACAGTGTGTCATCGAGTCGGTCGAATCCAAATGCTGAAGAACCAAAGTGACAACCAGCAGAGATCTTAATGTGCTCAATGTCCCCTCTCTCTCTCTTTGTTTATCACCAGTTGAAACGACTCGCGGCGTTTCAAATGTTTTTTATCCCCGTTCCGGCTCAAGTATGTGATTTCTCTCCTCCTGTGTTTCACATGCAGATGTTTAACATCCAGTGATCGTTTTGTTAAGAGTTCTGATCACAAACATTAAGCGAGATTTAGTTGCAATATTCACCGTTATCGTCAAAGAGTCCAAAGGCCATTTGCACAGCTTTCCCTACACTTTCTTTCAGCTTTGGCCGGTTAAAACTACCCAATTGCTAATGAACCCTTTGTGCAATGCAGACAGCATAAGTTCACTGAGCCCGTGGTGGCTCCGTGTTTACAGCTGCACACTTTACAGCCTGATCATCTTTCAAGAATTCAATTGAATTGCGGATGCTAGAACAATAAGTCTATAGGTGTCTACATTGGAAAATGACTAATATGTGATCGTTAAATTGCTGGTGGCTAAAATCTTCAGTAACTGTGAGGGCCACCGCCTGTGAAAGGGGTCACAGGGGTCATTTTGCTGTCTAGGTTGATAAATACAACAAAATCCGTAAAGTTCTGTTTTTGCTTCCCCATGCGTGATGCGTGCTGGTGCTTTACTAGCAGGCAGAGCTGCCGTGTCGGTGCCAAATGTCCCACTTTACTTTCCCTTCTGGTTGTCACTCAAATCAGCCTTTGGACTCTGACCAAGGCCGTGTGTACTTTGTGTGAGTGTGTGTTTTTTGATGTGTGTGTTTAGCATTGTTACTCGACTGCTTGAAGTTGAAATGGTTTCTTCTTCCCGTTGCTGCCTTTGCCTCCCGTTGACGAGCGCAGCCGCTGGCTGACGAGAGGGAAGCCGTCTGTCGGCGAGTGCCATAAGAGCCCCCTCCGCCCACCCCCGCTCCGTCCCCACCGGCCGTCCTCTGTCCTCCGTCCTCCCAGCGACTACACCCTCTGATCATATGGACGGGTGCGCTCATCATCCTCTCCACCAGGGGGCCCCCGCGCCTGCCCTCCGCTCCCTCGACGGGCCCCTGAGCAGCTCTGTGGAAGGAACCATTGAATCGCACGTGTGTGTTTGGCATTTCCAAGACATTCCTTCTTCCCTTTTGTTCATAGCTCCTGTTGGCCACACCTGTGACCGTTGCCGTACAAAGTCGTACAACCCTTTTAATGTAAGATGTTGCCAAGCCGGAGAAAAGCTGTCTTTTAATGTGCACTAACACAAAAGTTTATTTTTTATTTCTCCATTTTAAAAGCTGGCCTGAGCACAGAGCAGTTTTTTTTAACTTATTGCCACGGAGAGGACAGCTGCCATTTCACTTTAATTCAATTGTTTTCATCAATGCAAAGGCATGCGTGACTCCGATGAGAACATGTGTGTAACACAGAGAGGGACTGTACCCAGCTGTACAATAACACTCTGACATCAATAAATTTCTGTTTTTCTGTTCATTCACGCACTTTGATCTTCTATTGAACAAGCAAATAGCAGGTTTACAAACTTTATATGACAACCTATTGCTATACTCTTGAGTAAAAGGTGAATTACTACAGCTTGCTGGTTGACAGTTGATCGTTTACCATTGTGGTTCACATCCATGAACTACAAGACTAAGGACCAGGATGCATTATGTAAAGCAGCTACAGAAGAATACAGGCAATTTACACGGCTGTTTGAAAAGTTAGGAATCAGCTGTTGTTTTCGATAACAATAGTTTATTATCAATAGCACGACGGGTCATTTTAAGTAACTTTTCAAAGCAGTTTGACAAGATATAAACATCCGCTGTGCTGCTTTTATTCATTCTTTGGTTTTAACATTGCTGAGTCGGTCACTGAGATCATCAAAGTAATCATCAGTGGAACGAAACATCTGGATGATGGCGGTGAGAAGTAGGATGTCACAGTTTTGATCCAACTCGAATTCTTTGCTGTAGTTCTTCACCGGAACAACGCAGGACATTGGCACACCGAGCCGAACACCAACCTCCTGCATCTGAATCACAATAGCAACAAAATATGCCAATGAGCGTAGTTCCAAATAAATATAATTCCATTCAGTTAAGAAAAGTGGCAAGTTGTGTGTGTATTGATACTATCACATAAGAGACGTATTACCATCAATACCAACCCATCAAAAATGTTATTACTGTATATTTGCGCCGCTACTTTACACATGACAGGGCAACTCAATAATAATAACAAAAAGTTCATTTAGATTTACATTTAGATTAAGAACCAAAATTAAACCTGCAAACAATTTGATTCACATTTTCTGTCTCAATTTAAAGTGGATCTCACAATATCCTGAATGTAGCTGCTCTTATAAATGTTCCTGATGTCCTGTGAAACCAAAGGGCAGGCTTCATCCACCTTCGTCAGCAGGACCAGCTGAGGAATACCTGCAGAGATTAAAAAAATAAATCCTAAAACATCTGGTTTCCATCTCTAACATTCTGTGTCTCTACTGTGCTAAACTACTAGAAAGCACATTTCTAGTCTGTTTCATTTAAGCTTTCTATTATTTAGTGGATATTAGTATGACCTGCAGTACTTCTGACATTTCTCAATGGTTTGTGAATATCACACAATTTAGGTACAAAATCACCACTTAAAATGATTTTTGATTTTCACCGACCCATCAAGTTGACCTTTCTGCGGATAGCTTCCAGCTTCTGCTCCAGTTTTGCCGGCAGGATGGCGACCTTGCAGGCATCGACGACGTAGGCCACGCAGTGGATCTTGTCACTCAGGCCCGGCCACTTGTGATAGCCGCTGGCATTCGAACGCAGAGGAGCCGTTGGGTTGAACTGAGTCATGAGAAGTGAGAGAAAAGGGCCGTTGTTGAGTCACAGGACAAAACCTCATGCTGTTAATGCTCCGACTGATAATACGAAGCCCAACCTGATAGGAGTCTGGCAGATGACCTTCGAGGATGCTGGCGATGTCGTCGATATCAAGGCCCGCCCCCGTGCTTTCCTCCAATCCCATGGTATCACACAAGATGATTGGCAGCGGGTTTCCTCCTTGTCCATCTTTTATTGAGTATGTGCGAAACTGTCAGGAATATTACGTAATGGAGTTTATTATACGAGATTGTGGATGGCGAAAACGATTTGCTACAAACACTCATAAACAGGACGGGCAAAGCACACTTTACTTTGTCATCAGCACTAAAGACCGTAACAAAAAAGGTATGTTAACTTGTCCTTTTTCTTCCTTTACTGCAGATCTCATGCAGGATTAAAAGTCTACTGGCCATGCTGACGGCTTTTGGGAGGCCGGTGCTTTGAGCCAAATGCTTACGAGTACAATGCTGGCAGTCATCATGTCGGGACGGCTTGTTGCTGTGGTTTATGTACAAGTGATGGGGTGGGAAGGCCATTAGTTATGATGAAATGTGTTACTTAAAACTCAATGGTGGCACCTGAGCAGGACATGATGTCTTTTCAGAATTCAATGCAAAAGAGACACATAACAAAATAAACCCTGTGCACTACTGTTCAAAATTGAAGTGAACTATGTACATGAAGTGAATGAAACCAGCCTAACCTGTTTGGTGAGGCTGTTGGTGGAGCAGCCGGCGATGGCCTGGTTGCTGACGTAGCCTTTGAATACAGAGTTGATAGAATTGAAGAAGCTGGACTTTCCAGCTCCAACAGGTCCGATCAGCAGGACCCGAACCTGCGCCACAGAGTTGGACGGGGAGCAGTGGAGCCTGATGCTCTCCATCATTTCGACTCGCTTCCTGACCAAACAAGATCAGCTCTAAGACATCTTCAACACTTGAGTACTTTATGACATTATACTGTGACTAGGTAAAAACAATAGGTAAATACAAAGTGTTGTCACGTCCAGCTTACTCGTTTTCCCAGACGACCGGCCTCCACGGCTTCTCAAGTTCTAGCATTGCTGAAAAGCAAATCAGGCCATGTGATTTTAATCAAATTTAAACACCCACACAAGTAATCTATTAGCTGTCTTTTGAAGTCATGAAACATGAATTACAACTCCCTTTTTGTTTCCCTTTCCCTAAAACATGAATATACATGAATATTGTTTACGTCACTTTTCACTGCTGGTTATTATTAGTGAGTCAGTGGTGAAAAGAAAAGCTACCATCCGTTTAACTAGAACAAGCCCGATAAAACTTGCTGCATTGCAGCAAAAAATATGCAGATGTGTCCAGGTGTTCTTTTATTAGGAAGCTTGGTTTCTGGTAACCAGACTGATGGTGTGTAAAGTGCAACAAAAATATGATTGATATGATCCGACTTGTTGTTGTAGTTCACTTACTCTCCACCTCATAAACTTCACACTCAGTCAGCTGGATGTCGTTGCCATGCATCTCTGCAGCAGTGAAGTTGTAATAATTCCCTGGATTGGAATAGACTGTTGCTTTGCCTCTCATGACAAGAACCAAATCTTCTCCAAAATATGGACCACAGTCACCAACCATTCTTACTGCATAAGCTGGAGAAGAGACTGGATATTTGATGAGCTTTTCTCCATTAAAGGTGAAAAGAAAGGCCTGCTCATCCTGCATGTACCCGCCAGACTGACTGAAGGGTGGTTTGGTGTAGCCTCCAAACACATAACCGGAAGCATTGAAGCCCACAGACACCGTGGGACCGTGGTTGTCACATTGCTGGTGGAAGCCAGCGCCGCTGAAACCATGGATGCTGGCCTTGTACAGCAGACGCAGTTTGACTCTTCCCAGCTGGGAGCAGATTTCTTTCTGCTGGCTGCTGGTTAGTTTGGAGTTCATGCTGGTTGTTTTTTCTGCTGACGATCAGGAACAGAAAACAGAAACAGTGGTTGCAGGTTTGAAGCGGTGCATCTTATTGGAGATGGATTCATTTAACTTGATCAACAGCCCAAGTTGAGACACTTAAGACGGTTTCCTAAATTCAATGTACCTGACATTAGAACCAAGTACAGTCAGTTCAGTTTAAGGATATGTTGGGGCATGTTGCTTACTGAAATACTTACTTATGTCAATGCAATTATAATTCGAAAGGACGTTTCACCCTTTCCCAACAAAAACACTGCCATTGATATGCAAATGCTTTTTGAGACAAAACTTGAGAGATGGAAAATCGTCATTCATAATTAATATTTAAATTCAATATTCTAAACAAGGACTAACAAGTTTAAAGATATCTTAGTTTTACAATGAATCAAAGACAAAGTAAGGGATAAAAACAATTACCTTCCTCGAAGACGAAAGGGCAGACTGGATATTAGCAGCCGTCAAAAGTGCAGCAGACACGCGCAGCGTGAGGAAGACCGGAAGTACTAAGTTGTTTCAACATAAGAGAGTTCAAAATAATCTTTGTCATTTATCTTTTGGCAATTTAGATGTTTAACAGGACATCAAGAATCGTACAAAAGACTTCATGGTATTTTATACTTATTTTAACTTTATCAAATTTTAAACATAGGTTTAGGTATCTTTTAATTTGATCAGTCCCTTTTTAGGTCTTTTTTTTTAATCAGGAATCAATCTTAAGTCACTTCTAACTATATTTATGTTTCCTCGTATTTTTACGCAAGAGCTGGGGGGTCTTGGGCCTTAGAAAAATGTGCACCGTTAAATTGAGTCAACAGCCCAACAATATCACAAAGCAAATTGGGATTTTAGGTTATTTTCATTAAATTGACTGTTTTTAGTCAATTATTTTCACCAAAATAAATGTATTTTGAAGGGGAATACTGGAAATGAAAGACATAGTACGGCCGACTTGACTGAAACTTTAAGTTTCGTTTTCCCGTAACGACCCGACGAAACACGACTAAACACGTGACATGATTGGTTCAGTCTGCAGAAAGAAAACATATTTAACATGTTGTGTGTCAAAACAATACATATAAGATTATGGTATAATATATCTACTTATTTACAGTTTTATATAAAAGATTATATACGGATAAATATGTTGTATGTGTAGATATAGTATTTCGTAGAAGGCCCTGAAAAAGCCATAGTAGAGTATAATAAGGAAAAACAACAATAAAAGTCAGTGCAGTGTGTTAAAAAAGGTTATTAAAATCTAACACCATAGGTATTCAGAAAACAAAAACAAAAGAAAAAATTCACAGTATGATTTGTCGTAGTAAAACAGACACACACACAAAATAAAAAAGTAAGTCATACTACAGTATGTCAGAAAATGTTGGGCAATATGGTGACACTGTCGCCTCAAAGAAAGAAGGTCCTAAGTTTTAAACATAGCATCCATTAAACTCTCCGAAGTAAGTTGTTCATTTAAGTTTAATGAGGGCTTGTACTGCATTTTATATTGCCACTCAGTGGCCGTTGCTTGCTACTGCCACAAGAAAGGATCTCGGCCCTGCTGGAGATGACTATTGTTAAGAGAACCTCTGGAGAAAGACAGCTATACTGTGACAGGTAAAGACCACTTGTAGATATTTATTCCTGTATGAGGCAAAATAAAGTGTGACGGCACGCAGAAACCCCTCTGTATGGCTGGTTGTTGAATAAGGTTTATTGACCTTGATACAAAGAGAAAAGTTGATGCTTACAAAGACATCACAAGTTCGGATTTCTTCAGAATTATCACAATTTTCTCATTATAATGTTGTAAAAGACATAACAAGAGGAAAGGTTCAAAGCCAGTGCCTGTACCATTTTATGGGATTGTTCTGTAGCTTTAACATTTACGAATGGTTAAATCTTGGACACAAACTTTATTCCTGAGCAGCCTCCTAACATTAAGCATTAAACCACAAAAGATTAGATGAATGTGAATTTGCGAACCTTTTTCTATATTCTTAAAAGAAAGGAATGTTTTATTCCATTTTCTGCCCTGTGTGTTGGGCCGTGTTGTCCTGGAAATACAGGTTAGCATATTGAAGGATGTGGTCGACAGCACTAAGCAGGAGCACATCAGTGTTCACATCCAGGTCCAGCTCTGAAGAGTAGTTCTTCACCGGGACGATGTAGGAGGTGGACATTCCCAACAGAGCTCCGGCTTTAACCATCTGCAAATACACACAAATGTAAGCATTAAAATAACAGAATTATCATATATCAATTAATTTATGCATTATTCCAGCCTACCATGTCCCGAATGGTGTTGCTCTTGTAAACCTCTGCGACGTCTTTGTCCGTTTCAACACAAATTTTGTCAATGTGGGTCAGCAGAGCCACCTGGTGAACCCCTAACAGACAGAACACAAGGCTGCCATTAAGATTTCCTTGCAATAAAACAGCTTTTAATTGTTAGATTCTAGAGGAACACATTACCAAACGTTAAGTCATGGACGCATTTAAACAATGACAACTGAATTAAGGCAAACACTGACCAAACACTGACCAAGTCTACCTTGTTTTCAAAAGTTAAAGCCCATTCGGTCCGACAGGGGACAACATCTGTCTTAATGTTTAAGTGTTTTGCTTCTCCTGTTGTTACCCAGTTCACTGATGTGCTCCCGGAGCTTCTGGAAGGTGTCACTGAGGCCTTTAGGGTAGGTCAGGACTTTCGAGGCGTCCACCACAAAGGCCACACAATGGACCTTGTCTTTGAGGCTTGGCCTCTTCACGTAGCCCACCGTCTCCGACCTCACTGGCTGATCTGGGCTGAACTATGACACAGAGAAAAGAAGAGCAACACGGCGCGTGTTGCGTGTTTAGCAATTAGCCAATAAATTAATTCTGACCTAATGCCGGTGCTAGACAAATAGAAAGTGGATCACAAAGGCTCTTATATCCTCAGGGGAAGGTACCAAATTTCATGGCAACCCATCCAATGGGGGTCGAGACATTTCACCCAAACCCACAAATGTTGACCTCATAGTGGCGCTAGAAAGAAAGTCAGAGGACCACTACTGTCATTGAAACGCATCCTCTTGAGAAACCACGAGAGTACAAAATGCTTTGCCCATCTATGTGGTGTTTGAGGGGAAATGTTTCAGTCCGGACCAAACATCCAACCAATACACCTGTAGAGCTGTCTACAGCAATGCTGCAACTACAACATGACAACACGCTCCCTGCTTACCTTGTGCCCTTCAGGTACATGACCTTTAATGACGGACAGGATGTCATGGAGGGTCAGTCCGGTCATATCTCCACCTCCCAGGCCCACCATATCACACAAGACCAGCCCAGTGGGATCCTCTACATCCTCAGCATGGATGTTGAAGGACTGCAGCTGACACACACACACACAAACAAGTTAAAAGGATGGACGCCAAAACCATAGCAACAGACCTGCTGATTGGAGGTTTGCCCTGCTGCATTATTCTGAAGAACAAACGACATTCAGGTTCAGCGTTGCCTCAATGCTGTTTTTTATGTGTTTGTCTAGTCTGTCGGTGCCCAAATATTAACATATTTATAGTATATATTTTGTTAATTTAAGCATTTAACTTTGATTTCAGCAAGAAAGTACATTCATAACTTGAAAAAACACGTGCCCAAACTTGATGTTTGGGCAGTGTTTTTCCTTTTTAAGATTCCCTCTACCCTGAAAGCCTAAACGAGGTATCTCCCCATTGCTAAAAACCTAGAATTTCAGCTCATTTGGTCCGCTAGTCCCTCAAAATAAATCCCAACTACAGGGATTGCCAGTTACTTGACTTGTACCTTCTTGGTGAAGCTGGTGGAGGAGGAGCCCACCATGGCCCGGTTGGTGACTCTTCCTTTAAACACCGACTGGACTGAGCTGATGAAGCTGGACTTTCCAGAACCAACCGGACCCAGGAGGAGAACCTTAGCATGAGACACATCCTCACTGCTGGGTTTGTAGGAGCTGATGGTCACCTTCAAGCTCAGCTTTTTTCTAGATTCAAATAAGAGAATCTTGCTGCTCAGTGTAAATAGAATTAAGGCATGCAAAGTGTGTTTTTATATATATGAGTTGAAACGAAATATGTTGATAGTGTTTAAATTAGGGGGGTTTCTTTTCGCTTTAAATGAACGGAAATACATTAATTTGAATGCTATTTATTTAAATGGTTGAAACTTGACATGACTGTCATTTTACTCACTCTTCTGTCCACTCGATGTCTCGCCATGGAGATTCCAGTTTTGTTCGAGCTGCTTTGGAGAAGATGAGGTTTTTCTTGTATTTTTTTTAACTGCATCCAAACAATGAATGAAAACCACAAGAGTGGCTTATATATGCAACGGTAGTGCAAGTGCAATGGCGGAAGGATTTCTTGGTGTGGAAGTGTTAAGCAGCTTACCTGGGAATGTAAACAAAATGTTGTTCTCCCTTCTCTCTGTTGAACTGACATCTGTCACAGTGCTGGAAGAATCATTGGTCCCTGCTTCTTTACTGGTAGTTAATGCAGCTGAAGCACGGGGGCCAGGGTGAAACCTGGCTGCAGAGAGCCCTTCAAATGAAAAGCCGCTGTTGAGGAAAACAACAATATCAGATTCAGAGCATAAAACATGGTTAAATCCATTACACATCAAATGCTATTCATGTGACCTAAAAACAGCTGCTGTTGAGATGGACGGAGAAATGCCAAATAGCTTTCTGAAGGAATTTGAGTTGAGCACTAATGATGGAAATACTCGGCAATATCTGTGAGGCAGAAAAGTTGTGTGTTGTGTGGGCATCCGTACGCAAACTCCTGCTATAGCATATTTATTTAGTAATTACTACTAACCATGTCGACAAATGTATTCATGTGTTGACAATGCAATCCTACAAAATGACCTATTTGCAAATCAGGCGATGCTTTGCCCTCTTCTACTACAACACTACGTTACACCATTTGAATCTGCAATCACAAATTAGTAAGAATCAAACCGATATACAGAGTAAATACTTGAATTACTCAGTTAGCCGAACGACAATTGGATGTCTGTCAATTCGCAAAACAGGGACAGCAGGTATTTTGCATTGGCTCTCTGGTGCCTGTAATTCTCAACTGCCTTTTCCAAAGATAGGAGATAGTTCAGCAAGTCGTGTGACGTCTTTCAGGACAATTTCTGACTTTACTTCAAACTGACTTCATTTATCAGTGTTATGGGTTTTTTGTGTGTTACGAGAAATGTTGAATGTTTACTTATATAGTTGACTCTTGTCAAGGGAAAAAAAGAGCAATAACATACAAAGCTTTTTTTTCTTTATCACATCACATTTTATATTTAAGAATTTATATTTTGAAAAAGAGCAAAAGGTTTCTCTAAAAGGACATTTGTTGTCATAGTAATGAAGCATAACATTAGCTCTGATAAGTATACAGATGTAAAATGCATATTTCTACAAAGCCTGATACAATGTGCACCGAGGTATAGAAAGACATTTACATGTTTTGATTCACTGTTTGACCCAACAACAACAAACAAAAACCACTGAAGCAACAAGCGTTGAGTTTGACGCGAGACTGTAAACATGACTTACTGCTTATTTTACACGCGTGTAACGTGGCGTGAAAACACGAACGTACCTCTGATTCTTTTTGTTCTGTGCCTCCATGACGCGAGTGCAAGCAGACGCGGTGACCAACGGCGGACAGGCGACAGACAAAGACGGAGAAGCGACTCTCTCTTCTCCGGAAAAGAAAGTGAAACCTAACAGTGAGCATGATAAGTTACACAAACAGCACTGCAGGAAGTTCTGTGCACAGTGGCACAAATGGTCCACACCTTTGGACCCCCCCGCAGAGTAAAGGGACGGTTCTCCCACCAAACAACCAAAAAACCAACACCTCACAGGCGGTTTTGCGGTACCTCTGATTAACATACTAATTGGTTACAGTTTTGCTGGATGAAATGAAAAAGGTGTCTAAGTCATTCTTGTGAACCTTTAACTGTGCAGATTCCTCAGCAGGAAGCACCTTTCCTTTCTAAGAAGGGTTGCTTATTGTCTGTTCCACATTACGGGTAGAGGAGGCCCCGGTTTAGCGAATTAATAAGTAATATCCTCACATTGTGGGGGAAACGATGACATGGCCAACGCTGTGCCCTTTCCTCCATCACGTTGACAGGAGGAGCCGCTGCGTTTATAATACACTGGTTTATCCGCGGCCTGATAATGGAGGAGAGAAGAAGGACAACAGGCTGCTCGCGGAGAGAGAGAACGTGTGAAGGTAGAAGGTCTATCGGATGAGGACATTCACAGCAAATATTAGGTGTTGCTTAATCATAAAGGTACAGCAGGTCAGAGAGGGACATGACAATGTTTCTAACTTAAGCTTGATAAACTGCCTGGACTACCAGGTGGGTTTGTCTTATCCACTAGTGGGAGCTCCAGTCTCGTGTTTGAAGCGTGATGTCGACCCACTAGCTGACAGCAGGGGTCCACCTGTGGCCTCCGCTGGGACCCACGGGCCGATACCCAGAACTCCCACACACACATGTCCTCACACAGTCAGAGGCATCACTCAGGAGCTTCTCATAACTCAATGTTTTAATCTGAATATTACTCTGTAGTTGATGGCGAGGAATGCCGTTCCTTGGATAAGAAAACTTGCTGTGTGTGTGTGTGTGTGTGTGTGTGTGTGTGTGTGTGTGTGTGTGTGTGTGTGTGTTTCTTGGCTTATTTGAGAGACGGTTTGTTTTGCAGCTCTGAATCAAAGGATATTCAACTCATCCAAGGTTTGCTTGGGAAGACTTTCTTTCCTTCAGTCCTTCATATTCATGCATAGTTCCGATGTTTTCAGCACAGTCACTAGACTTCAATCAGCCTTAATCTCCGTTAATTGAACATATTGTTGCGGTTTGACATTACAACATGGGTTCCCTGGGCTCCTGTCTGCTGTCATGTCAAATCGTGTTCATCACATCAAAGCCTCGGCTTGTGATTCAGCTCCAGTGAGCCCTTTCAGCAATCCTGCCAGCGATCGTGTCTATCAGGTTTTCATGTGTTAAAATACCACCAGATCATCTCCAGATTCATGGATTCATTCAGGATGTTTATGTAGCAAAGCTAAATAAAGCTACAAAAGTTGGCAGGTTCTTTCAGGTGAATTGTCTATCATCCAGCACAGCTTTATCGGGCTATTTAGTCCAGCAGCCCGCAGCTGATCAGGCGTAATAGCGGCGCACAACAAGGCAAAGCTATTTGCCGTGACCTTGTGGCCTCGCCAAGCTTTTGCTGCGACAGCAAAATAGTTTCTATTTCCAGAGCCGCATTTAGAAAGACTGTGAGGGTTAAGTTAGAAGATCCAAAACCAGCAGGAACACCTTTCATACTTGGAGCCATTATTTATTCATTTTTCAGTGTTCCTTATGCATTTAAATACGGAATATATTTCTTTTGTCAAATTTCAGCATCAAATGGCTATTTACCCAAGCACTCAAAGAAGAGTATTTCCGCGTAACCTGACGTGGAGTTCTGATTGATGAATTCACCTTGCTATGGTACACGGCACAAATCCACAGCCAGTTTATTACGCGTACAAACTTACATGGCAGTCAGCACGCTGAGTTTAGAAAGGCAGTCTGGAATACCGGCAATAAAGCTAATCGATGTACCGAAAGTCACACAAACAAACTAATCAAATTAATAAAATTACAGTCCTGTGGCTTCAAAGGTTTCAGTTCCCTATCTGAAGGCTGAAAGCTCAAGTTGACCATTAATGTTCCCAAACTGAAAAAATGCACCGGTCCATAAGCCTGACAACCCATTTGGGGCTTCTTGGTTATCAGACTACAAAACCCAATTTAAAAATAAAACTTCCTGCGGCCTTGAGGTCGTGACCGGGTGTCATTAAAAGTGATTGCAGTGTTGGTGGCTTCACAGTAAACACTGTCTAGAGGCTTTACAGATGTAAATGGAAGATGCTGCCCTGCAAAAACCAAAACACAGCGTGCAAAACACATCACGATTAAACTGCAACCAGAGACCGGTAAATTGTATTTATACACGTGTGTAATGTACTAGAATTAGTGTTCCAGAATGACCTGGTTGTGGCCCACCCATTTATTTTTACCGCGATATGTGTCCTGCATGTGTACCTGTAGTATTATGGGATACGCATAATTTCCTCACATGCATATTAATCTATGCTTATTTCTAACATCCACTCAGGCATTGAAGTGAAGAGAGCAGGCACTTTTATTTAATAATAACGTAAGATGGACAATATTAGACACAATTATATTGAGCCATTTTAACCACAAAATGTTGCTGCAGTTTTCGATATAATAGAAAAAATAGAAGCAGCAGCATGTGCAGAAGCCCAGTGTCCTCTCAGCTGAGGTGATCTTTAAGTTGTGTAGATAAATTATGATTTGTTGACCATTAACAGCTCTTCCTCACCATCATGGTACTCTGGGGCTGTGAGTTCACAAGGTCCAGACAGATCCCACTCTGACTCAGCAGCCTCGACTGATGTCAGAGAAGCAGAACGGTGCAGGTGGGAGGACAAACATGCGTCGTCTAAAGAGGGAGTTATGCAGCCGTGTGACACAGCGATCCGATTCACAGGAACACCCACACCACTACCACCCCGCTCATGCATCCAGACTGGGTGACACACGTCTCGTCTGAACTGCTCTCTCTTCAGCAAAGTGCACAGGGGCTTGAAATTAAAGCTCTGCAGGTTTGAGTTGAAGAGAGGGCAAGGAACAACTGCAACTGGAAAACACTTTGCATGCTGTTTTCCTTTGCAGTTGGTGCGGAAGTGAGATATTGATTTAGCATCCGTGAAAATCAGACATGATTTGCTGGAGGAAGAAATGAACGTTTAAGCTTAAAATTGTTATTCGACGATATTATGCCTATTTTATATGATTGTTTAGCTTACTATCGCCTTTCCCCTTTAATGAATTAATTAATTTGGTTAATACTTTACTTATAAAATTGATTTATTTTATCATCAGTTTAATAGTTGTTTATGTGTTAGTGTATTCCAAATAATTGATTCTTTTAGTGTCTTATTGAGGCAAGTCAACACACTTATCTTAAAAGGTATATTATAATATTTAAATTGTAATGTCTGCAGTTTCCCCTTTTTAAAAATACTAGAATGCTGAAATTGTGCCTGAGCTGGATGGATAACATTGCTTCAAAGAAAATGAAAACGTAAAAAAAGTATTTGTTGCATTGGATATCCATGACTCTGGCATATTGATCACGGTAGAAAGATTTGGATGTGATGTGCGACAATAAATATGTGTTTTCCTGCGTGCAGATGATCAAAGATGGCAAATGTTCTTTTTTGTTGTTTTTGTTTTTTATTTTGGACTTTCTATTCTTTTCTGGTTAATCTTTCTGCTAAACTCTGTGACATTTGGGATTTGTCAACTACAGGTTGGACAGGACATGATGTAAGGACAGCCTCTGATCATGTGCACGGTGCACAGTGCAGCCGGTAAAGGGACGACACACAAGTGTAACGAGAGCCGTCTAATATGTTCATTTGAACGGAGAGTGGATATAGCTAGTCTAGTGATGTCATACGATGCAAATGTTGTTTATGATTGTATGTTTGGAGGCTTTGGGAGGTAATTGGGGGCAATAAAGAGCTGCAACATCTTGTTCTTATTTATAAATAACTACCACTATGCCTTTGAACATCTGTGATTGTAATATAATGTAAGACGATGGATTAATGATGGATGGAGGTTTGTCTCGTTAGTTTTTACACGTCCTGGTTTCTTTCAGAAAGTGTCATTCAAATGTCAGTGCAGTGATCAGTTCTCCCGTGTCTGTTTCCAGGTGTCTAAATCTAAATTGATGGGTATGATGAGACGGTCAATGCTGTTTAAGATATCAGGGGTATGCGCTTGGCAGACAGCTGCCTGTGACTCACACACAGTGTGTCATTATAGTCGATACGTAGTCCACTAGGGACAAAAATAAATTCTACGCATATCTGAGTTACGCAATTTCCAAACTACAGATGGCCGTGGTAAAGAAGATCACTGTTTGTGTAAAGCGGTGTGCCGGGACCAAAGCATTCATCTATTACAGCAACGTGACGCACTGACTGGGATTCATGTGGCTGAGTTTGCGTAATGGAGAAAATGGAGAAATAAAAAGCAAGTGATCCCTTCTGCTTTTCACGTGAGCACTTATGAAGTTTATGTCTATTGCTTTAGCTTTGTTTGCAATAAAACAAGAAGGTTGAGAGAGTGGAGATCACCTTGGACCAAAGACAATTTGTGGTGATGCAGAGATTCTTGCTATTAAAGGTCATTCAAATTCTGGTAGTAAAGAGCATTTGGATATCAAACCCCCTATCTTGTCCCTGTGAAGAGTTTTTTAAGAAATAAATAAATATAGGATTGGGTATCTTTTTGAAAAAACGTTGCTGAAATTCTCATTACATCCCGACAGCAATCAATAAAGAAAAATGTGGTATCCGTGGCTCAACGGACTCTAATGTTCAATCAATCACTTCATTTGGCCCAATAGGGCCTTTAAGTTGGGTCATGCTTTTAAAATGTAACAGTCTCAACCTCACCACCACACCTTCTCCTGAATGCGTGTCGTATTCATGCAAATTCCTGCATTACAGAGCAAAACGGGATTCAAAATGTCCGGCTGAATATTGTCTGGGTCGCAATCTTTAACGTTTTCTATTCTCCAATATATCTGTCCTGCATCTCCCAAAGTCACGGATTAATCAATTGGGCCACTTGTGA